GAAGTAAAAGGGTGGAGGGCTAATGATCTAATGAAGAAAATCACCAAGACACATCTACAATTTTTTTCAAAGGGCTAAAAGAAGAAAATTCAGATCTTACAAAAGTCTGCTCAAACACTAAATACTCAGTGGGAAAATATTTAGGAGCTTTGCATTTAAAAAGCTTTGCATACTGCTTCAGTTTTATCGACAGAAGACGTATTGCATGTAGGAAACAGTTGATCAAAACTCCTTTAAAGTAAAAGAAATAAAGTTATTTAAATGGCAATTGCATTTTCTTTTTGTTATATTTGAGGTTCCACAAGCAGCTGACAGCTGACTTTAATTCAGTTCAATTTAAAATACTTTTTAAACCTCAAAGCAGAAGAAAAGTTAGCATTAATGTGCATGTCCTTTTAGCTTCTCCATTCGGCCTAAGTTAGTTGGTATGTTTACAAAATGTTTGCAACATGTCTCATACATGATATTAAATGTTTTACAGCTGTAGTTTCAGTTTCAGTAACAATCATTAAGCAGACATGCAAGTTGTTTCACCATAACAAGACTGAATAGTCTGAATGCCTCAATAATAAGCTTTACCTCAACAAAATGAGACATAAAACCCGAAACTTATAACAAGCCAACAGTACAATACGAACTGACTAATCACACATCAGACTAAAGACATCCTGCATAAATCCAGGGGCTCTCTTTTAAACTTAATAGCTTTTCCTTCTCATGAAAAATACATCTGGCCCGAACTTCTGAACTTCTCATAATGCAGCAGTCATCTTGACTATTTTTTACAACCTAAGTGAAAGTCTGTATGGAGTTTATTCAGCTAAAAATAACCAAACAAAGACCATCTGGAGGGCTGGTACGCTGTTAATTCATGCCAAAGAAAACATGCTTAAAATGACAAACACGAAAGGCCGGCATAATATTAGAAAGAATTACTCCTGAAAAATGCGGCAACTTCTTTTTCTCTGAATAATTCTGTTTCTGCTCTGGATGTCTCGCTGTTATTCACTGAGGGGTACATCCAGCTTTTGCGTGATTTCACATCAATTGAGCGAATCTGCTGCACTTACACAACTTTAACAAATGAAGTCTAGCAGCTGGCTGTTAAAATTAATGCCCAGTTCTTTATGCAAGACTTTCTTTTCTTTTTAGAGAAATATTTCTGGTTAACGCTCAAGCTCCACTTTATTTTTTCCTTCCCATTTTATCTTCCTAACTGTAACAAGATACTTTATCTTGCTCTTTTACAACACCCCTCCCTAACAGGCTTCTGTTATCTGATAAGCTAACCACGGAGGCCTATTAAGCATCAGCACACAGTGCTTTCTAACTGTTAGGCCTATGCTTTGTGGTTCTACTTGAGCAGGTGTTTGGATAAAGAAATTGGTCTCTTATAAATCTTTTAAAAATTTTAAGTAAAAATTGTGAAAAAAGTGTTCTGAATCACTGGAGTTGCTTCTATATTCACACACAACTGGAAATTCTTCCAGAAAAAGGCAAAAAAACCGCACAATGTATGCCCGGCTTTAGGAGTACGGCAAGTGAAGCATAGCTAAAAATCACATTAAAGAGTGGTTTCTTAGTAACACTAAATATTTATCAACTCTATTAATTAAGATCCCTCTGAATCATTCATTCTGTACTAGATGTGCCTCGATACAACTTTTTGATATCCGATACAATACAGATATTGCAACTTTAAGAATTGTCCAATACCAATATTGACCAGACATGATATTAGCACCAATCATACATGCTTTTATTACTTTTTTTGGTACTATAGATTGCTAGAAAAGAATAAATCAAGTACTATTACTACAACAGAGTCAACAACAGTAGGTGTGAGGCAATTGACCCATGCAATATTAACCAGTGAGTTTCAGAAACTTTAGCAGAAGCAGAGACCTTCAGTCAGTATGCAAATACCTGATGGTTTCAGATGCAGGTTGATATAATCCAATATAATTTTTTTGGCTATTATCAGATGGATATCCGATATTAATATGTACGCAACTTCCATTGACATAAGCTAAGCCAAAATTGAGCACTTTTGTAACTAATTTAATCATCGATTAATCGTTAACTGGAGTATTGAGACTCTCAAACATGCCTTTAGCTGAAAAAGCAACTTAGCGCAGTAATTATGCCAAGATTGTAAACAAATATATCAACATTTTGAATTCAAGAAAAAAAGTACAATAAAAATGTTTCTGTGAATATGCTCTACCCAGAACCCTCAAGGGAAATAGTTTGAGTTTCACCTGATTTAATTTCGTAATAACTCTTCTTTAAGGAATCTTTGGCTATGTTAGATTATTAATTGATTAATTTAAAAAGTTTACTGACAGATTAGTCGATTTGTAATAAAAATAGTTAGTTGTATTGCATAATATAGCCCTAATATATATATATATATATATATATATATATATATATATATATATATATATATATATATATATATATATATATATTTATATAAAAAATATATATTTTATATAGGCGCTCTGGCCTATATAAAATATATATATTTTTTACATAGGACAGAGCGCAGTTTTTACCTCATTGTTGGTTTAGAGAGGGCTTTGAAAAACTCTGCTTTATAAAAAATGTGATATGAATAACTGACAGCCTTGCACAGCTCCTAGAGTAAAAAAAAAAGGTGTCAAAACTTCCAGATGATATAAAACTATGGGTGGCCATATGGGCCAAATTGTTCATGGTCAGCCTTACAGTTTTCCTCATATATCAGTGCTAGAGCAATCAAACCTGACGTGAGACTTTTCCATCAGCAGTGCCAGCATACATTTACAATCAACACAACAGCAGCTATGCACCCTGCTGAGAAGGGCAGGCTTAGCCTTGCGAGTTCAGTGTATGTTTTTGTTTGAGAACAGGATGAGGTGGTGTGCACGATCCCCCCGCCTCTCCGATCCTTATGGATGCAGTTTCGCTACCAGCTGGTTTCCATTAGCATAACTCTGAGGAATGGCAGGACTAGCTCATGTAGGCAGACACATGAAGGGGGCAGATGATACCAGACCATCTTTTAGCAGTATCGGATAATCTATGATTACGGTGCCATGTAGTTTGATGACAGAAACTATAATGTTAGGACAGTTTTCACGCAAAGACATAATTTTTTTTGCCTGTTCCTGCAAATTTAAATTGTAAACAGTCGGTCAAAGTTGTCATTTTTAGGACCACACCTTTAGAATCCTGTGTGGTTATACAGTTTTTGCTATTTCCTTGTTGTGCAGCTTAGCAGGTAGAATCTGTGGCCATATTTAGCAATAGAATAATATCATAAAATCATGCAGAATCAACGCATCAGTTAAGCTTCTCAAAACGAATCCACAAGTCACCCCTGAAAAGGATTTATAATGTCCAATTTTAAAATCCCCTGAGCATGGCAGAAATAGTTTAACACCTGAGGATGCTATTGTTTGCTTTCTTCTCTAGGTAGTCTAGAAGATCAAAACCACTTGGCCTCCATATGAGCCAGGGACCTGATGATGTTTAGCATGACGACTGCCGAACAGAAGAGAACAGTGCAGTTAGTCTGGAACCGCTTAGGTGTAACTAAATCTGCCTACCTGCACCTCTAGAAGTGGCTGTAACTGTGATCAGAGCATCTGTAGCCCTGCTTTTCATTATCAGCAGCAGACTTTATGTGCATCATGCAACTTTAGTAGCATCCCAAGACTAATATATTACCTGAAGGGTTGCTCTGTAGAGCAGAAGTGTTTTTTATCTCACACAGTAGGAGAGATGCCACAGACACGGTATGTGAAATCTACACACCAGTTGGACACATACAAGCCTGAAGAGTTCTGGATTAATTGTTGAATTAAGAGATTTATTTCCTGAAAAAAGACATAATTTACAGATTTTTATATGAAGTTAAAACTATATTTGCATTGCCTAACATCATTAATCACACCTCATGAATCTCTCCACATTTTGCTGCATTGCAACAACAAACTTGAGTGTATTTCATTGTGATTTTATGCGAGAGACAAACAAAAAACGGAGCAAAATAAGAAGAGGAGGGAAAACTTTTTGAATATTTAAAAGACACCCTGAAAACACAAAACAACCATGCACACATTTATTTTCATTTTTTGGATTATAGGAGGAAGCTGGTGAGAACCCACACTATTTGCTGCAATCAATTTTTTGGGGATATTTTTAAAAAGATGATAAAAAGAGTTACAACAAAATACACTGAAGTTTTTTAATTTGACAAAAAAATGAGTGAGAATAATTTAGTGAGACACTATATGTTAAAGACAGGGACGGAGATCTTAAGTATGAAATGTCAGATATTGAAGTCTTAAACACTCAAATTAATGGAAGCATCTTTATAAAAACATGCGCGACCTTACAGAGGAGGAAGCTTAGCTAGAGCCAGTCCAAGGGGTATGCATTCATTACGGCCAAATGGTTGAAGAATGAGATGAGGGAGCAGTAATGACAGCCTCGCTCAGCTGGCGGCTCGCCCTCCTACAGCGAAAGTGCCTTAAGACCTCCATTAGAAACAGCAGCAATATTTACAGGCCTTGTACCAGAGGAGCTGATACATGGATAATACCCTTAGGATGAAGACTCTCCATGCAGCCACAAGACTAAGTCATAGAGGAACACAATAGTGGGATTATGCAATGACAAAGGAGAGTCTGTTTCTTGTTTCTCCAGATACACACTTGAACTGCATGGTTTCAGGGACCATCAAGCTCCTGACTGATACCTTTAACCCAACCCATTAGGGTGATGCAAACAGCTTCCCAGCACATGACTGTCGACATGCAGCCTTAAATTCTCCTAACACCAGTAGCAATGCTGTTATGCAGCTTTTTCTGTGAGTTTTCCCCTGTTTTGTTCTAAATACACATCTAGAAACAAACCTGCCTAAAATCCAGTGAAACTCTCAGGGTAAAAAAAAGAAAAGTGGATGAAAACCAGCTACTGTAGCAATGAGAATCACAATCTAAACCTACCTTAACATAGGCAGTGTAGCTTTGGCATTTCTCTCTGTTGAATTCCAGGCTCAGCTGCTGGTTCATTTGGCTGATCTGAGACCCCGATTGTGCGAAATAAATCCTAGAAGGCTGGTTTTTCTGTCGTTTATCCATATCAGCAGTCAGGTTGTACAGCAACTCTAAGAAGAGGGAGAAGCCTGGTCAACTGTGTGTCTTGACACAGTTGAGTCAAGACAGTCCTGGGAAACGCTTTAAACACGCAGGGTTTGGTTTTCTGCTCATTGCCAGCAGAACATGGGAAAAAGTAAATTATTGCCTATTGGAACGAAATTAAACAAATGAATCATGTGGGAAGACGGAAACATTTTGGTTGGATCATTATGTAGTGCTTTAATGTATGAAGATGAGTGTAGCAAGACTAATTCAGTACATCCAATGCAGTTTTTCATAGTTCCCCTGGCTAATTGAATAATGTATCATTAATAAGGCAGGCAGAGAGATGCTGAGAGCTACAGTTTATTAATAAAAAGTATTTAATATTAATGACTTATTAATGACTTTTTAATGATTATTTTCCACCTATCCTTTACTGTGAAAATGTCTACAGCTGTTATTGATTTTTTATTCTCCAAAGTAAAAACACTGAACCGTACAATACTCTGTTTTATTTTGCTATCTGTTATTTTCATACACTTTTCTAGGTGCACATTGTGTGATCACCTCTACTATAACCTTTGCTTTTGTAAACACCACCATTTCCTCATTGTGGGACAGTACAGGGCTATTCTATTCTATTTTATTCTATTCTATTTCTTAGCTATGTGAAACCAAGAGGTTTATAACAGCTAAAAGAGAAGAACTAAATTTACGGAAGCCGAGAGCGGTCTTACTCGATTTTTTTTCTTTTCTTTGCCTTCTCCAGATAATGACATAACTATCTCGTTGTCGCGGTTAAACCATAAATTTACAAGATGAAAAATTTACAAATTTACAATCATAACAAGATGATTAGCTCATTATCACGGGAAAACAGTTATTGATTTCTTGAGATAACGAGATGATAAACCTGTATGAGTAATGAATGAGGCTAGCCAACAGCCCTGGATTCCCAGTCCATCCATGCCTACGGTGCCCGTAGTTGTGCAGTTTTGGTGCATGCAAATAAGCTGTTTTTTAGTCTTTGCTCTCATTATCAGATTGTGGTGGATGGAATACAGCAGTAATAAATCTGACTGCTTTTTATGAAAATCTTTATTCTGGACTCATTTTTGGTTAATGCATCTTATACTTGTTACAGGCATAACACCAGGTCTGTTCAGGAAACACCCAATGTGAAGGATGATATGCAGAGAAAAACATGGCTAAAACACTTCCTGTCAACAGCTGTTTCCCAATCTGAGCTTAAGTTGTTGACTTTCTAGGTTTTGTAGATGTGCTACATTATACTTCATCTACAGAGGATAGGGTGAAAATTGCTCCATAAGATGCTCAAAACATTTTTTTTTCTAATCTAACTCCACTTTAAAGTTCCCCACAATCTTCTCCCTGGTGTTTTCTTCTGTCTCCCCTGGTCTCCGTCTTGCTGCTAGTTGGTACCTTCCTTAAAACATCCCATTGGCCCTCACAAGTCACAAGAATGAAGTTACCATTAACCGTGTTTTTGGGATAACCATATATGGGCTTCTGGACATTTAAAAAGGGCTCCTCTGAATGAATAAGCCTCATTCTGCAGTCATTTCCCCTGGAGGGTGTCTTTCTGGTAAAACAGTGGGAGGGGTGGTAAACACACCCAATTCAGACCAAACTAAGCCTTCTGTTTCTGCTGTCCAACTGAGTGAGCGCCATGAGCTCATTTCACAGGAGGTACAGGAAGGTTTTACTCTGGGAGTCACCGAACAAACAGTGCTTCACTTTCCATAGTAACGGCCAGACGGGTAAACAGAAAGGCTTTATTCTGTCCAGCCTGGACAGTATCATTATGCAACGAAAGGGCTGCTGTTCCCCTTGGGGGAGGCTGTGAAAGACCACACCCAAACACTTGAACAGGACTGCACCTCAGCTGTCATCAGGCACACCCAAGAACATGTAAGCAGAGGGCAAGATCAAAGTCAGCCATGGGCAAGTAACCTAGCCTTATTTTATCTAAACATATTTATATTCCACTGAAATTTCAGGAAGTGATATTCAAGGCAATTACCCTTTCTCAGGGCACCTTCTGAAATAGACCTCTCTCAGAGGAGACCTAATTAGAAACACTTTTTTCTCATGTACAACTCAGTGCTGAGCTGTACTTCATTTATTTTACTACATCGGTCAGCTTAAGTTTCCCACTGTACATTTATGCCATTCTTTATTTCCTACTTAACACTGACATTCTACAGCTTTGCAATACTCAAAGTAATTATTTCAAATCAGCCAGCTAAAGAGGTTTATTTTTCTGCATTTTCCATTATGACTTATAATGTCTTCTCTGAAATTTTCTATCCTTATACATTTTAATGGATGGATGGATGGATGGATGGATGGATGGATGGATGGATGGATGGATGGATGGATGGATGGATGGATGGATGGATGGATGGATGGATGGATGGATGGATGGATGCATCTTACAATCAAAATTTGTCACCTATTTCTCCAGGCACCTCTCTCCCCCTGAAGCGCATGCAGATTGTGATGTTGAAGCAATTCAGGTTCTGGTGTCCTTCGTGGCACTGAGGCACGGAGATGTTGATGGAGACGGGCAGAATAATTGAGACATCCACTGTAATGACAGGCCGCGACCTATGACCACACAAACCCAGACATAAACACGGCGTGGGAGAAAACCATCATTACAACCGCTATGAGGAAGAGAAAGAAATACTACTTAGGCCTGAACAGATAGTCAAGCAGCAGAGAGAATTACAGCAGAACTCACCTCAGCAGAACCACACTGTCTGCCAGAAAAGCTCCGATGGTGACATCTGCAGCAAGGAAAACATTGATTTGGAAAAGCATTAAGAAGAGATGACAGCACTGCAACATCTGCAGTCAGCAGTCTTAACACCTGCAGATTGAAAACAATGCACAGACTGAGGTGTCTAAATGTCACACAGGCTCAGTCTGACAGCTTTGGAATGCAGTAAACAACATGCTTCTGTCAGTCACAAGGGTGAAAATACACTATTGTTGACATGAAAAAACTTCAAATGCTAGAACAGAAAACAAGAAACCAATCCTTTTTATTTTTATGTTTATGTTTAAGGATAATAACATTTGGTATGCTCTTCCTGTACCTGCATATCCATTGCTGTCCATGTCCACATTACCAGAGATGGACTGGCCAAACATCTGCAGCCCAGGACTTACACTGCGCCCGGATAGTTTCTGAAACAAATAAGAACCCTTTTATAATTACAAATTATCAGGTGAACAATATTGACACAAAGTGACAGTTTTTTTTTTTTTTAACCAAGTTTGTGTTTCAGGTATGAGATCTAAAACATGACTGCATTAAATGTTGAAAAAAAAAAAACTTTAAGAAATAGATTCCAATATGTAGAATTCCCTGAATATATTAATATGTTTTGTAATAAACTTGCAATAGAAATTAGGTCCAGACAATGCCATTTGCACACAAAGATAAACGCTGATCTAAATCATTGCATTCTAGATCTGGGTGTATGTTTTTGTTAAGGTTCATCAGTCCAAATAGTCCTGATAGATTTTCTTGTTTTTATAGGTGAACCCATCAGTTCTCTCCATGCTGAGCCTGTCTGTTTGGCAGGATGGCCATGCGTTGTTCGGGATGCAGCTGTTCCATTATCATTTCATTGATAGGTCGATTTTATTCTTTATTTTATCCTTGACTTGACTATTTGGTTAATAAGTCTTCATGCTTTGGTTTGTTCCCTTATGCCTTTTCATTACAGAAAAGCATAACTTATGCAGATATTAAATAGTTTTAAAAAGGTACGTTCTGTGCTGATAAGGGATTTGGTTGCACTGAGTCTTATTTGAGGGCATGCATAAGAACAAATATATATACAAAAGCATTCAGATTTTTTTTTTACAATTCCAAATAAATTCAAATACTTTGTTATAGTCTACAAAATCAAATCCTGATTAAATACATTTAAGTTTGTGGTTAAAATGTAAACAAAATGAGAACAATGTTTCATCCTGTCTTTTTCCACATCTTGGCTTAGTTTAGTCAAGTGGTAGGGGAGTAGGGTAAAGTTTCTACAAGGCAAACCCTCAAACAGTGAAAGGATTACACCTCCCAAATGTCTTTGAAGACATTCTTATCAGGACAGAATCCATGGCCTCTAAAGGGAAGGTCCTTGATGGATAGAGCAGACAAAATGCCAAAATACCTTGTTAAAAATGTGTCTGGCCACTGAGAAGTGGGCAAAAAAGAATAGCTTGTCCGTGTTTTTCAGGAGCTGTGTGGGGCTAACATTTAATCGTGAGGCTAAACACCACCTGCGATGCTGCTCTTCACCACTCAGCTACTTTAAAAAAAAAGAAAGGCAGCCACATGTTTTTAATCAGATTGTTCAGCGTTGTCATGGTTAAAGCTGTTAAAACAAACATTATACATTTTCAAACAAGAAAAAGGATCGAAGCCTTTCACATCAGAAACAATTGTATCTGTTTTCCTTTTCCCGATTTTTTTAATTTAATAAAGGGATAAATACCATTGAGTATTTTCTGGTAATTCCTGTTGAGTCTCCATGGTAGATATAGACCGCTCCACTATAGTCATCTTCTTTAGGGGCTCCTATGGCTACATCTGGGGAGACAAATAAGGAGAAAATATGGTTCTGTTAAAAGTCGGCCCATTAATGAGGGGTTATAAGAAAGACTGAGTGTGTTTGTGAAAGGAAAATGGTTTCATTGACCTCCTGTTTGCATTCAGTTGGCCTGTGCCTGGGAAACAAGCTCTAAAAAGCAAGACTCATAATCGACAATTAAGCACTGTTAGGGACTGTAAAACTTGTGCGACCCCTGAGAAAGTGGAAACAAGGCTATTAGGTGCTGGCAAAGAGACTGAAATGCCCTCATCAGCTTATTTTAGCAGAAAGTCCCAAATTTAGACTTCCTCTAATAAACCAAGACACCTCCGTACAGAGAAATGCACCAGGCAGAAATGGAACAAGAAGCAATACACAATGGTTTATTTACTGTATAGAGACAAAATTAAACTCTGTTGGCAATGGTTTTACGGTAGCTCTTTAAAGTTAAATGGTAGCAGTTAAGTTGTAAATAATCATCTGTCAGTCAACAAGAACATCTGGCACTTTCCCACAACCCGAGAGTGATGAGTTACAGGGTGAGTTATGATTCCCAGCTGCCATCTTTCCCTGTGCACAAACACACACATGCTGGTGCCAGGCTGCAAGCCTTGAGGGATATCTCACAGGGAGATGAAACCAGGCAGAAGCTTCCTGCCGTGAGTGAGGGATGGTCGCCAAGGAGAGCTCTATTTCAGCCAAAACGAGCAAGTGCCAGGAAAATAAACAGTTTAACGGTATGTCTAAGTGTTAGTGGAGAATTTGGTTTGTATCTGCATGGATAAGTGTGCAGAAAGGTGAGAAATGCAAATGCACTCCAAAATGTCTGGGTAATTTCTGTGAAAAAGAACTTGTTTAGCAACACCTACTTAACATGTCAAGCAACTATTCAGTGATTATGAACTTGACTAATGTTACTCTTTTGAGTTGAATTAAGGTGATCAGCCAATCTGGAGAGCTGTGAAAATATGCAACCAAAAATAATCTAAAGCTTTACTACCCAAAGCATTCCTACTGCTTGAATCTTTGCCAACTTCTGTCCCAGGATAACTTTATACTTAGGATTTTATGTGATAGACCAACACAAAAAAAATCAATAAATATAAGTTGGAAAGGAAATAATACTTATTATAGAACTACCCATCACTGAATTCACAGCTACAAAATGTTTAGAAATTTTATCAGCTTTGCATGCCTAAAAAATCTGAAAACAGCTCAATCTCAGTTTGACTAGATAAATAGCTTCTATAAACACTCATTTTCATTCCCTGCCATATCAAATCTTAACATGGGGAAATGCTTATAGTCCTTGCTTTACGTTTAGACTTGTTCTCATGCTAGAAGGTGAATCTTCAATATTGTCTAAAGTAGAAATTATTATTATTATTTTTTTTTTTTGACAAACCTTGATAACCATCATCATCAATGTCTCCAATGGCTGAGATGCACTCTCCAAAGTGTGCATTGAAAGCAATGTCGCCACTCAAAACTGCATGCTCCTCCATCGCCCCCTGAAACATTTGGGAACCAAATTAGATCAGATGTTATTCATTTGGTAAATGAACCCAGAGGTTTAACTCACTAAAACTTAATCCAAAAACATTCAGAAACTTAGAAACAAGCATATTCAAATGGGGAAGGTAAAAGAGATACATTTTCTTGTAATATCAGTCTGCAGTTGTGGTAGAGTTGTGTTCCTTTTTCTGCTGAGTCATATACCACTCACATTGCCCTTGCTGAGGTACACAGACACCTGGCCCTCATCCCGGAGCTGGCTGTGCATGGGTGCCCCCACCAGCAGGTCCGACAGGCCGTCCTGGTTCAGATCAACTGCACACAATGAGGAGCCAAAGTAAGAGCCCATCTGGAACCAAGTTGAGCCACAGAGCAATGGGTCAGATCACAGACAGTATAGGTACATTGAAACACATCACTCTCTCCTTAACTTTTGCTTTTATCTCTCTATAAATAATTAACAAATTCTTCAAAGTGTATGCTTTAAATTGGCTCTGGTTTTACGTAACTCTATAAATGATTAAAAAAACCTCTCAGGTTTTGGTTTGTGGCCAATGTGTTTCTCCCTAAACACTAACGCAGACATAAACAACGGGTTCCTAACAACAAAGCAATTAGAGTAGTCTGCAATGTATCTCAAGGGCCTGTTACAAGATTCCTAAAGCTGATTAACCAATAAGTCTGCATTGTTTTAGCTGAAAGAAAATTAGTAAGACAACAAGAAAAAACTAAAAATGTATGAATGAGTAAAAAGCAAGACCATCTGAAATATTTCAGTTTACAGAGGATCCTATCCAGGTACATACCATTTTCCCTGAGGCTTGAAAAGTCTTCACAAGAGACCCACCATCAAGTTTAAAAATGTAAACCTGTTCAGAAGAGAAATAAACTCAATATAATGGCGCAACATGAACAATTTCCAAAACTGGTAGAGTTCATACTTCTCCGACGTTGTTGTGCTGAGGAGCCCCAGCAGCTACGTCTATTGCATTAGTAGAAGAGAAGTGTCCAGCAGTCACAGCATAACCTGGAACCACAGAGAACAAATCATTTATCCTATTCAATATTTGAGCAGTTTGCACTCATGGGCATGGATTTTTAAACCACTTAAATTGTTTTTGAAAAGAAAAATTAGGTGAGAGATCTTAAATTTTATGCAGATTTTCTCAAATTCACACAGAAACATAAATATACATACAGGACAGAAATATATACGCACACCTTCACTGAAAGTTGCATATATATCTTAGCAAAACCACATAATTTAGGGAGCCCTCCACATTGTTGTAGCATAGTTCTTGCTGGACAGTTGACTGATATTTTTATTAGATTTGTAACATATAGCCCAAACAGACTTTAAACATAGCTCACATAATTTAAAAGTAAAAAATATATTCCAAATATACAGTAAGCCTGCTTTATCCCTACCTAAATCATTTCTGATGTGTCTTGGATTAATGTGCTGCTGGAAACCTCTCATGACTTGATTTCAACCATCTGATCCAAAGGGTCAAGTTTACAAAAACTGGGAGATGTGTAAGTACCAGTATTAAAATTCCTAGGAAACCTGGTCTCTTAAAGAAGGAAAACTACCTCCAAACTACCTCTGTTTCTTATTAAAGCACTACAATGATCCCAAACACAAGTTAAAACTAGCTTTGGAGATTAGCAGACAGGTTAGTATTAAATCTATATTGAAAATGTATCTAATATCTTTATAAATAAACAAATCAATTCAAATAAACATATCTGATAGAGGAAGTTGTCAAATATCCAGGCAGAATCATGAATTGTGTTGTTTTCCAAAAACAAGCAAAGGGTCCATGTTTAAAGCTAGAGGGCTCTAGATATGAATAGCCCTGTATTCATAGCTTCAACTTTGAAGAAGTTATAGAAAAGGAATCATAAACTCAAACTTTTGCAAGAAAAAAAAACAACTCTTTCTTTCAAAGCCCTTCATCAGTTAGTGACGTAGTTTACTAGTATAATCACACTCTGAATAACGTCTCCTACGGCACATTCAATTCTTTGGAAGTGTTTCTAAGTTTATCACCAGCATTGTACATTTAATCTTTTAAGTTAGTGGCTCTCACCAAGGTAGCTGAATCTGTGTGAGTCGATGTTGTCTTGGCTTGGGCTGTAGAGGGTGTCAGAAGTCATATTGTACACCTTTACTGTCCCGGTCCAATAATACGACCCCGGAGCCCCCATCACCACCAGCTCCTAAGCATGAGAGAGCAGATAAATTTAAGCGCTGGCTTCACTGCAGTAACCTGTTTCTATAACAGACAAAGTACAGAGAAGGAGAAAGAAAGGAAAAACACTGAGGGGCGGATGTCTGGTTAACCAGCGACCACAGTATGGTTTGTGCTATCTGCTTTTAAACACTCACTCTCATTGGGCGCCAAAAGAAGCAGTCCTGATTGATGAGATTTAGAAAGAGTAAAAAAGAAAACTAAAATTCATAACATCAGCAAATCATCAGATAAGATACTCTCTTTGTACAAAAACAACCCATAAAAGATGCATCATAATCAGTTAAAATGCACATTAGTTGCACCCGGAAATGTGGATTTACTGCTGGGATGTTTTCATTAAAACAAACAAACTAAACAACACAGTCAGGACCTTAGTCAGCGGTATGCCTTCCCTCTGCTGTGGCGTCAAACATCTGGGCACCACCGGGGACACGGAGCAAAAGTTCAGACAAGGATAGAGCCAGAACAGTTGGATGTCTTTTCTTTCAATTCCTTGCATTCTTTAAAAGGTGGGGGGTTCAAACGGTTTACCAGATCGTCTCTGACGGTCTTCTACCATGGAGGAAAAGGTAGCCTGATAATGTCTCAGGTTTCCACTCTTTGCATTTCTACTTCTTTTCTCTGCTTCTTTAACATTAGTTGGTTTAAAACTTCCCACAAAGCACATCATCTGTTAGGTTTATGGCACTTTAGGTATCTTACAAAAAATGAACTAACTACTAAAAATACTATGATTGTAAATAATTTCATTTTAGTAGAAAATACATTTTATTAAATGTTATTTTGAAAGAAATGTTCACATATCATTGCATCATTAAACAAAGGATACAAACTAAAATGTTTATATCGAAAAAGGTTAAGACAAACCTCTAATAGCTGGTCCTACACCTCCTTTGCCTGAATTGACTCCAGGCAGACATTTCTTGAATCCAGTGTCTGACATTGTTATAAAGAAAGCTGTCTCACTCTTTACTTTCAGAGATGTTGGCGAGGTTTCCTTCAGGCACAGCCTATTTTAACTTACCCCAAAGCATCTCAGTGAGACTTAATTTCAACCACTTTTTGGATATAATTGTTCCTTTTTGGCAAACATTACGTTGGAGTGTCCAGATCTGCTCCACCTTTAACTTTCCTCCAAAGAAGCTCTCAAATTTTCCTAAAGAGTCCTCTGATACATGGTGGAATCAATGTTGGACTCTATGATATTGAGCTGGCAGCAGTAAAAATTATCTGTCTCTCTGGGAAACTTCAGTCTAACTTTCATGCTTTTTTAGAGAGCAAATGTTTTCTTCTTGCTCGTCTCCAATGGTAGTTAAACTCTCACAGTGTCTTTCTAATTGTGCAGATAATCACTACATAATAGAAGCAGCAACAGCCTGTAAACATTTTTGGGTTTTTGGAGTCTTCTTTAAGGATTTCCATCATCTTCACTGAGAGTAAATTTGCATGGATGAACAGATCGGGACATGTTTGCAGAGCCGTTGTTTTGAATGTCCTCCAATTGTAGCCTGTGTCCTCAAAAAGGGGAATAACTAGTTTCTAAATATTTTGAGCTTTCTTTAAATTCTTTACCAGACACATAAAGTGCAAAACTCTTCTTTTTGTAGCCTGACAAACCATGTCTGTGCCTATTGGCCAACGCCCTGACCAATGAGCCCAACTGACTGTGACGTAGTATGGCGACAGAAAGCTGGTGGTCGGTAGAACGGCGGATATGTCCTTCTTAAAAAATGAATAAGCGTAGAGCCTCGTCCTGCTCACGTTTCAACGAAAACCCCTAATCTTTCCAAAACTGATTCCAAAGCTGTGTCAAATGAGAACTGTTCAATAGTTGTTGCCATCTTCCTTGTTGTGCTTTCTCCAGCATCGCGCAGCTTTGTCTTCACGCCCTCAAAACCCCGCCCGCTTTGCATTCAAAAACTCAAAACACATCTCTTTGTTGTGATTGGCCAGTTCTAGGGCCTGAGGCATTGATCAGCATTGATAGGCTACCACTCGCAGGCAAAAATAATTTTGACCTCTGGTGGGTCGGGCTATTTACTAGGTTATTCTTTTTGAAGACCTCAGGCAGATTGCATGAGCTCATAAAGCACATAGTGTTGACTTTCACCTCAACAGTGGAGCACGCCACAATAAAAGTCTGATATTTAAAAAGAGCAAATCTCCTTCAATATTATGAATACAAAGGTCTGACCAGGTGCACCTAATGTGAGAACTAGGAAACATTTTCAATCTGTTCTTTTTTTATTCCTTATCAGAAACTGTAACCTGCTGTATGGACCTTTAAACTCATTTGTGCTATTAAATTATTTCTCTTTTTCTTAAAATCTTTTTCCATCAAATCTAAACCAAAATATTTAATTTCTATGTCAGAAGCATGCTATCATGAACTGGAGATTACATTTTACATAACATCTAAATATAAAACATATATTATTATTATTATTATAATTATATTTATATGCAGGGCTGCAAATAACGATCATCTTGCTAGTCGATTTATCTGTAGACTTTTTTTTTGATTAATCAATTCATATTTGGAGAGAGAATAGTTCCTCAAAGTATATGTATATAAAAAAACATTTATACAAAATTAAACCATGTGAAAATTTTACTTTTTCATTTTAGTTTTGGGTAGAGCATATTGGCAGACGAAAAAGTTTTTTCATCTTAAATACATATAATTTATAATTTATATATATATATATATATATATATATATATATATATATATATATATATATATATATATATATATATATATAAATTTTATTTTATTTTATTTTGCAATGTTGGTATAATTACTGCTCTAAAAGTGTTCATCTGCAGCTAATGGCATGTTTTAGTCTCCATACTCCAGTTAGCGATTAATTGATTGCTAAATTAGTTGATGATTAATTCAATAATTGATTAAACATGAATACTCCAATTCATTGTTTCAGCCCTATTTATATCATTGTGTTTCTCAATACAATTTATGAATTTAATGAAGTATCAAAGTGTCCAAATGTGCTAGAAAGACACGCTGGCTGTCATAAGTGGTCCAAAGTGTATACAGTGACTGTCTCCTGGCTTTATAGATGTTATAGACTTCTTTTAAATCAAATATTTGTTATTAATATTTTTATTTTCATTCGATTATCAGGGGGGATGTCCCAATTATGAATTCCACAGATCAAGATACTTAAAATAGATTTTCTTTAACAATCTTATTTGTCTTTTCAGCTCCCACCAGGCCATTTCTACTGGGGACACATTTGGCTAACTTAGTCCAGAGTACATCACTGTGGGTCTAAACTGAGGGTCAATGTAACCTGAGACATAGAAAACAGTTTTAGTTGTAATTATTAATTAATTTATTTATTTACCTATTTATTTGTTATTTTTTTTTTTTTTTTTTTTTCTCTTCCTCTGTGGGGGGGAGCGGTTGCGGGCGGGTCGGTGTCTGGTGTCCGCTGTCGCATTGTGGGGGCCCCTTTTTTTTTTTTTTTTTTTTTTCTCTTTTTTTCTTTGGGGGGTTTGGCATGTCTGTTTTCTCGGGGGGCAGGCGGGCCTGCTGGGTGGGGGTCCTGCTGGCGGCGCGCCGCTGGTGTGTGGGGGTCCGGGCGGCTCCGGCGGGGGTAGTGTTGGGGGGCCGGTCTGGGCGGGCTGGCTGCGCTGGCTGGGTATTCGGGTGGGTTTTCCCTCCTGGAGGCATGGCGGGGCTGCTCTGTTCCCACTGATCGCGGCGGATGGGGCTGCGGGGCGGGTGGGGGCCTGGGGTGGCTATGACCGGCGCGTGGTGGGGGGCCGGGGCGGCGGAGCTGCTCTGGCCGCGTGTCGGGGCCTGGTGCGGGCTGCGGGGGGGGGTGGCGGACGTGGCTGGGCTGCTTTGGCATCGTCCGGTGGGGGGGCGGCGCGGTTCGCTCCGCTCTGGCTTTGTGCTGCCCCTCGGGCTGCTGGGGGGGGTGGTTGCGCCGGCTGCGGTCTGCTCCTCTTGCGGTTTTGCGCCGGGCGGCTTTTCTGCTCTCGGGCTGATTCTGTGCGCGGTGTGTTTCGTTGCGCGCTGTTGGCATCGGTCTTGGTGGGGTGGGGCTGCGCTTTTGGCCGGGGGGGCGTTTTGGGGGGGGTCCCGCGGCGCTCGTGGCCGGTTCGCGGCGGATGCGCATGGGCCCCGGCCGGGGGCGGGGCCGCCTTAGTGTTTTCCTTGGTGGTGCGGTCGCGGTGGGTGTTGCGGCCGGTCGCCGGGGCTTGGTGCGGGGGGGCGGGGCGTGTTTCGGTGCTCTGTGGGGCTGGGGCGTTTCGGTCGGCGCCGTGGGGGGGCTGGTGTTCGGCGCCCGGCCCTACTTCGGGGTGGCCGGCTGCCGGCGGGGCCCGCGGACTCGTCCCCGCGGCACCCCGGGGCGCCGGCATGGCGGTGGCTGGGGGGCTTCCTCGTGGCTGTCTCTCCTCCTGCCTTGGTGGGGTCTGATTTCCGGGGCTGGCCCCGCCTTGGTGCCTTCGCTTCTGGGGTCCCCTTGGGCGCCTGGGGCTTTGGGTCTCCCGGCGCTGGACTCAGTGCTCTGGGGGGTGTGCCTCTCCGGCTCTCCACAACCACTATTGAGCATTTTTTTCTATGGTTAAAACTTTACATGCACAAGTTCACCCTCACAAACAACTACAGGTGCTAGGCTTCAGGTACTTAGAGATTCACTTCCAAACAGAAACCCCACATTCATATCTTCAGGTAACACAGAGTACATGTCAGACTTAATAATATTACTTTAGTGATAGTTTCAAGGTGTTTGCTTTATTGTATATCTCGTACCATGTTTTTTGGTTGTGCTGTTCCTTTTTTTTTTTTTTTTTTTTTTTTCCTCCATCTCATTACAGGTGCTGAAGCAGACTGAAAATGTTTTGTCATTGTCTCCTTCCTATCTCCTCTTTCTTTCATCTTTTGTCCTGTTTTTTTCTTTTTCTTTTTCCTTCTTCTTCTTCTGTTTTTCTGCTCTACTTACATTGCAGTGTCCATATGAACTGTAAAACTCCCTGCATAATTATAATAAAGCAATTTATATACATGAAACAAGTGGAGCGGTATGGCAATTGCGATACCGCTACACTTGTGAAAGTAAAATCTGTTGGGCTCCTTTTGGCATCAAGACAATTATTCTTATTGCCACCTTGCCAGACAGGACACTGTAAAAAAAAAAAAAAAAAAGGAAAGGAAAAAAAAAAAAAAAAAAAAAAAAAAAAAAAAAAGAAAACAGTTTACAGAGCATGTCACGCATGACTAACATCAGGAAAGTATTTCTGTGTTCTTGTACAAAAAAACCGGGTTGAACGACTCATATATACAAGCTTTTAACTTAATTTTGTTTGTCCATTTTTTTTTTCACATTCCTAACGGCATACAATAGAATCAAAGGCTTTTTTCATTTCTCTGTGGTTGTATTTCACTGATTTAACAGAGATCAAGCTTTTGACACTGGATGTATACAAAAAAGGTACTCTCCCTCCAAGGATGATGTCATGCAAGCTTCAGAGGATAGTCTTGCTTTTTTAACCATTTATCTCGCGGAACCACACCACAGGTCACATGTATCAGCCAAAGCCTTTCCTAGTGTCTCTGTACATGGAAACATAAGCTAATACTTATCAGCAGTTAATCAGCACAGCCCCTGTGGCTGTGATATAAACATTGCGCAAATCCAAATGGAGAATTCAGATTTTCCACATCATTTGACTTCTTAAACAAATGTGAAAAAGATCTTGTTCTGTTCACCATGCAGGACGTCTCTGCTAACTATCCTTGGAATACCACAGTCAAAGTCAACAAAGCGCACAGCATTAAAGATACTTTGAAGGTTTGACCATGGTGCTCATGAAAAAGATCAGAATATTTAAAGTATTCCAAGTTTTTTTTGTTTCAAAAAAGCTACTTTTTTTCAAAACCAAAATGTTTTTTTTTTATGTTATTGAAGTTTTGAAGCACTACAAGTCTTAGTTTGTTAGAAAGGGTGCCAAAGTGATCCATTTTCTCCAGTTGAGGGGTTGGAGAGTAAAGCAGAACTCCACCAACAGTACATTTTACTGTGCACTGCCAGTCCGCTGGCTGAAAGATGGCTCTCGTCTTACCAGCTGCGCATGTTTAAATGTGGCACCCGCTCTACCCTCTAACAGCTTTTTCTACTAGTTTTATTCAACTGGTGGTTCCATGAGGTTTTCTAAAGGCGATAAAAAAGCAGCAACTTCTGGGTAGATTCAGAAACTCTATACTTTGTTAAATTGGTGACAGATATTCACCTATTTTCCTTTTTTCGTTTTTGTGCTTGAATCTGAGAAATATAATGCCAAGAAGCGGCCATTTCTCAGCTCTATCACAGATCTACTAGGATCTGACAATGCCTGAGATGTGCCTCACACCACTTGAATCTGATGGAGAATATTTTCGTATAATCTTCGGCATCAAAACCAGCAGTAAAAACGTATACAGTACACAATTTTGACCCATCAGAATTTAGAAAAATAATTATTTATATACCATATTTTTTCAGTAAAATTAATATTTCTATTTTGAACCATTCTATACATCCTATGGACATGCTATTTTAGAAAAATATTTGTTTTTATTAAATATAATTTAACCTAACTGATGGAGTTGTTCTTTAGGATCAGTGTTTATTTTTGTTGGGTTCTTAACTTACTTATGTGAAGTTACATAAACACAAGCATAATTTCTTAATTATTAAGATTTTAATAGCTATATAAAAAAAATCCAGTTTATATTGCAACATTTTCAAGCTGGTTTTGGGAAATGCCAACATTTTCTCAGGCCTAATGGATGAAATGTTATTGTATGGGTTGCTCCCAGTAATATGTGCCTAAATATCCTCCAAAGAGAAGGTATCCTCTCCAGATGACTGAATGTTGCTCTCTCTGAGTGTAGGAGCAGCAGCTCTATGAATTCTTCAACGTTTTAACTAAATCTGAACTTCAACTTTCAACGACGGAAGCTTGATTGAGCTGCTCTTATCCAGAATACCATTGTTTTAGCAATATCTGCATTACCTTACTGGCATCTGAAATTTTAGGAGTATTCATCAACTGACAAAGCACTAGCAGCTCTAGTAAAAATATATGCAAACCATATTAAATATATTAAAACAAATATTTAATAGTTTATTGCATTGTTGGTATTTTGCATTATGAAAATCGTTGACTGTATTTCACATTACTCAACATCCTGTGTGGTCAAGAATACTTATTCTCATTATGAACCATAATGATGGTTTGCAGAGACCTGGCTTAGATGGCATAGATAATGCACAGATAAATTTAAAAACACTTGTAGAAAATATTAAACATCCCTAAGAGAAAATTATGTGCATAGAAATGTAGCATGTAAAGTTAAGCTAAAGTGCAGCAATTGCAAATCTAGTCAATGAAAAGGGCCAATGATGTTTGTGTGTAATATTAGTTTGCGTTTAAGTGTCTTTGCCTACATAACACAAGTTTTGAACATTTATAAAGAAGACCACAGTCTGGCTACTAAAACAACAACATCTGGCTTATTTCACTTATTTTTCAGTTATCATTTGCAATATCTAAAATGAAGTAAACATTTAATATGACTAAGGCTGAAATAATTAATCGGATTAATCGTTATTAATCGATTATTGAACTAATCATCAACTCATTTAGTAATTGATTAATCGTTAAATGTAATATAGAGACTGAAAAAACATGCCTTCAGCTGACAGAGCAACCCACTTAGAGCAGTAATTATACCAAGATTGTAAAAAAAATCTAAAGATTTTGCAGTTAAGATTAAAAAAAGAATAATAATCTGTCAATATGCTCTAACAAGAACTTCTAAAGTAGGAAAGTTTGAGGTTCACCAGGTTTAATTTAATAAAAAGTCTTCTTTAAGGAATTTTTGGCTATCCGATTATTAATCGAAGAAAAACAATGTATAAGAATAATCGATTTGCAAAATAATTGTTAGTTGCAGCCCTAAATATGAAACAACATTCTGAGGTTTCATCTCTATGTGGTGATTTCAGTGAAGGCAGCAAATCCACTTTAAACTCTTAAATTATCATAGAACTGACTGATGATGTTTGACAGGCATCCTGACGATAACATCTTTCTATTAGATGAGCAAGGGATTAAATGTGATATCAAGATTAGAAAGCACTGCTACTGACCTCTGTGAAAGCCCCCGCAATCCCAGCTTGGCACGAGCCGTGCTCTTCCCCATACCTGTGCTTATGGTCTGCAAGAAAAAAACAAACCACAAATGATTTAGCTGCTCCAACCAGCATTTACTGGTGTCTTTGCTCCTGCCTTCCTTATGGAGGAAGTCAAAGTCACAGTACAATTTGAGAAATCCAGCGGCAGAATGCAGACTGAAGGGAGGGGTGGAGCTTCAGTTTTAAGTTGCTCACAGGTTACAAAAATATTGAGTTTGGATTTTAATGGAAAATTCACAGTAAATATAGTACAGCAGGTCAAACTACTGGCAGAGAGATGAAAAAGGAAACTAATCCTGAACTGAGAGCATCGTAATGGTGCAAAGAGAAATTTGATATACATCTTAATAAATCACATGTTAAATTATACAAACAGTATTTTGGCTTAAGTTAATTCAAGTTATTAAAGGGTGAACATTTTTTACCACAGAAAACAATCAGGTGGAAAAAAGATTTGATTTATTATAACCAAAAGCTTTTTTTTATTATTATTGTTCACCTAATTTCTGGGAAACCAAGCCGAAACCATTTCTTGTCCTGCCCCTTAGCAGAGCAGTGTTTTCAAAAAATATAAGTCTCTTTGGACTGAAGAGAGATGGATTGAGCTACATTCTAGCTGCTCTGCAGCTGCTCCTGCCAGAACACCAATTCCAGACCAGAGGGAGAGCTAAGCCTCCCTGATGATGACGCTGACTGTTGAGATAACGCTCCATGATGAAATGCTGGGCAAAGTCAACTTATGATTTGAACCCCGTTAGCATATCCCAGGAAAAAATGTGTAAGCTCACAAGATGATAGAGATAAAAAAAAATAAAAAAATAAAGACTGGCCTGCAGCCGCATACAATCAACATGTGGGTCTAATCTTAACCAAAAGTCAAAATGTCATTAGGTTCTATTTTTACACTGAAAGATGTGTCATAGATTCTGAGCCTTGTTAATGTAGACATTATGTCACAATTAGAAAACAAATATACCAAGGAAAAGGCCAACAAAACGTAGAGCATCATGAGGAAAGGTAAATATGGTGTTCCAATTTTTTCCTATCTAAATATTTGAAGTGTGATTTCTACTTTTATACCCATACTTTATGCCCACAACGTTGTTGTGCAACTGATACAAGATTACAAAGCTGTATCTGAAGGTTTATTTTTGAGTGTGTCATCCCATAATGAAATATCATGGTGCTATCACTCCAAAGACAAGGTGTCTAATCATCAAAGGTTCCAAACAAGAGGTAATAACATAGACATCATTTAGTATGTACAATATGTTGGTGTTTTGCAGGTGATCAACAAAGATTGTTGCACAAAGGTTAAGATAAGCAAACTGATTTGGTTTCTACCCTCAAAATGAACTGATTGTGTGTTTTACAGTCAGTTTAAAAGTATTGGGAAAAGAAAGATGAGGTTCAAAGCCATGGAGCTGAAGGTAATAATGAGAAATAAATATAAAAAAAATGAATATACCAAATAGCACCAACATTTTTTTGATTTTCATGTGTAAAAACTCTGAAGCACAAATTTTTGGTCTTAAAATGAGCAACGCTTGTTTTTCTGTTATACCTTCATAACAAGGGATAAGCGGTATCGTCCCTTCTTGGAGTGTCGAAGGAATGACGGAGCAGTACCCGTGTGGAAGGATGAGTTCGTTGTCATAGAAGACGTTCTTCCAGCGGTGAGCGCAAGCCTGCAACAGGAAGCAGAAATAACCTCATTCAGTAACAACATGAGTACTTCAGGCATCTTTCCACTGATCCGTTCGCCTCAGCAGCTCCCTCCTTGCCGAGCCGGAGTCAGCACGTCTCTGTGGCTCCCTATTATCGTCAGAAAGAAGGGGGGGCATAAAAGCTTGTCCATAACCCCCCGACCATGCAATAACAGCCATGGTCTGTGGTGTGAATATCTCTCTTGCAGCCTGAGCTCTGTGTTTGCCAAGCTGTAATTTCTCATCAACATGTGTGCTTTTATTGCAAAACAGCAAACTGGATAAAACGTAACGTCAAACACGAAAGGCAGGAAGAAAAAAAAAACAGATCAAAGGGCAAAAGAGCAACTTCTAAAGATAGTTTTCTTTGTAGGATGATATTAAGCAATTTAAAAACAATATTTTTACAGGGTTTTTCTTCTGTTTTCTATCATACAACCCGCAGATCTATAACCTATCAGGATAATAAGGTCTATATTTTGGCCTAAAAAACAGGCTACATACATGTGCGACTGTGGTAATAATTTAGTAACCCTGGGGATCTGTGGTGAGGCTCCTGTGGCTCTGGGGACAGTCCTGAATGCCTGCACTTAAACCCAACCACCCACCCCTCAACAAGTAAAAAAAATTCCCCCTTGCTTCCCCACAGAAACACACACACAATTATTCCAAATGCAATTTGAGACCCCTGCAGCCGACGGACATAAACACAGCATTAAATGACTCTCTGGGATCATGACTTAAAATGGTGAGACAATATTTTATTTCAAAGAGAAATTGATTGACGGAAACAATGCAGCATCTCTTTCTTTCCTTTGTGAAACCAGAGAAAACTGCTCACTTCTGCTACAGAGGCGTATTTGGAGCGAGAGGGCAGCACCATGCTGACGTTCATGTTCTGTTTTAAAGAGCTCTGTCGTCACAGAAAAAGCTTTCACTGGAGGCACAGATGAAATCACCACTGTACACATCTGCCAAGCAGCCGTTATTCCTCTGCTGAGTCCGCACAGATGAGTTAAACAAAAAAAAAGAAAGAAAAACGTGCATGCTTAGTAGAGGCCGGGCAACACGTGGCCTTTTGCAGAGCAGCCTCCTCCTGTTTCATTGCAGCACTGTCAAAACTGCCAGAGAGTGCAGCTTAAAACTTTTTTTGGTTGTTTTTTTTGTTACACAACTCAACTCCCATGTTCTTAAAACTTTAAGACCTACAGAGTTTTTCACAGACAGGCGGGTGAGGCTGGGGGCACTGGTTAGAAGCCAGAGAATTCCACTACAAACTGGACCAAACACAAAAATATAGACTCAACAGATCTTTTTAAAAAATACATTTTCTGTGATTTCTTAAAAATCTGCTGCCAAGCTTTTTTTTTGATAAACAGTCACCTGTCAATACTGCCTTTAAAGCTGTAGTAGCCACCAAGAAACAGTTCTGTAAAGACCCCCCTCCCCGAGTTTGCTCACTGCCCTCAGCAGGAGATAGAAGTTCATATTTCATGGAAGGCTGCCCCTTACATCAGACCACCACTGTGGGGGCTGAAGCCTAAACAAACTCTGGCCACTGTCGATCTATGTGCTAACTCTTAACCGAGCATGTGAGGGATTTACACCACTGTGACGCCCTTTAAATGGTAAAATATACTTTTAACAAACTTCTCCAGCATAAAACAATAGTTAAAACATTCATTCTAGCTTCACATTCATGGAAAAGCTTTGAGAATACTTTTTTTACATCCTTCATTCTTAGTAACTGTGCCAGGAGGAGTTTGTGAGGATGGAAAGAGGCGTTTTTAACCAGAGCGAGGGAGTAAAGCTGAGGCCAGCTGTGGTTTAACAGTGTGGTTCAGGGTAAAACATTTGTAACAATGATGTGGGCATAATCTGGTTTGTGCTTTACGAGTAGACATGGTTCATATTAAATAAACTGCAGAAGAAGAAACTTTGGCCCACCAGTATTTTGCCGTTGGCTCGGTTCTGGCGGGCCAAGCTGACCCCCATCCACTCGTCATCTCTGTCTCCTTGGCACGTCTTTCCACACGACTCTCTGAGTTTGTTTCCTGAAAGATACAGAAAGCAGTTTGCAGACTCTGAGTCATCAGGATGGAGGGAGAAAACAACTAGTTTCTTCTGAGTCTGGGATGGATTTTACACAGCTCAGTTTAAGACGGTGTGCAAAGTTTGAAAAAAATAAACACATTAATAAAACTGCACAAATAATTTTATTGGAAAAACAAAAACAAATCATGTCAATTTCATTGTAGCACAGCGATAGTTGATTTACTGATTGTGTCATTGCTAATACAGCAACTATCAAAAATTACTAATACTCCTTCTATGTTTTATCACTTCACAGCCATAAAAAGTAAAAAATTTTATTGGGAATTTATGTAGCAGACCAGCAAAAATGATCCAAAAACATCGAGGAGAAAAAGTGTTTCAGATAGGGATGCACAATATAATCGGCCCCCTATCGGTATCTGCCTGTATCAGCCTTAAAACTGAATATCGGACATCGGCCACCAAACCGATATTTAACCCGATATTTGATCAGCTTCTGAGTTTCTAAAGTCTAAAAAAAAAAAATACTCCGCTGTCTCCGCTGTATGTGGATGCAGTAAGCTCGTATGAGCTATAAGAGCAGCACATTTTAAACTGCGTGCACGCACATTTGTTTTTAAAAGGGGAAAGGGCTTTTAAAAAATCCTTCACAATACCTTTAAAAGGCTAATGTTAACCTTAGAGGAGCAGCAAATAATATCAGCTCAGGCAGAGGAATCTGTTGACAGTGCAACTATTTCTAACAAACTAAATTGTCCTCTAGACAGGCGACAAGAGGAAAGTCATTGTGGGATCAAGTCTAGTTTGTAGTTTACCACAAGCCATGACTAGCAAAGATGTTCAACCCTGGTCTTGCATGTGTTACTGTATGTGTTTCCCGCTGCAATGCAACCAACTTGTATGAATGGATCGGCGCAAAACTATGAGGAATTTAAGACCAAAAACAATCATTCTGATTATTATTGGAATAAAGCATCTAAAACATGTATACACCATTGTATTAATGCTTAAAAAAGCATAGTTTTTCAGTAAATAAGCTTGATCCAGAATACTGGTACCTTCTGTCATGAGGCGGTGTTTGTTAGGAGGACCCAAATGCAGAGACCAGTAGGCAGAGGTGAATTAAAGTCAATTTATTCAGGTTCACAGATCCAGGGGCAGGGATCAGAGTCCAACAGAAAAACAACAAACGCACCTGAACCAAGGAGACATCAGGGGTAAACCAAAACTAGGAGCCAGGGAGAGACGAGGTACACAGACAGAAGTTAGATGAGGATCCAGCAAACAGGAACTGAAGAGGGAGGGCTTTTAAAGGGGACAGAGACAAAGAGAGAGCTAACGAGGGGATTGAAAACAGGTGAAGGCAGAACAGAAAAACAGAGCAAGGGAGGACACAAGAGGGCAGCAGAGGACAACAAATGGAAAACCAAGAAAAACAGGAACAAACAGACCAAGACTCTGACACCTTCCCCTGATACAAATTCTATAAATATATATTCAATATATAATCACATCATGCTATGAAATTATTAATCGAAAAAATTATCTTAACTTAAAAGATTAATCAATAAGAAAAATAAACATTAGTTGCAGCGCCGGAGGGTGACTTCTGTTTAGAAATGGATAATTCATTTAGACAAGTTGAAAACATCGAAAAAGTTTGGACTGATCTTAAACTTTATAGATGTGCTAAACAGGTTGAGTCCCAACTCTCACAAAATTGCAGCTTTCTAGTAAAAATTGGTTCTGTTAAAACTGCCTCAATGTGACTGAAAAAAAAACTTTATACCACATTTTATTTTAGATTTTTTTCATCTTAAATCACTTCATAATAATGTTCTTGCCTTGAAGTCTGTGGTTATAATGTGACAAAATGTGAAACTGTGAAGAGATATGAATGTATTTGCAAGGGAAAAAAACATTTAATGGAGTAAAAAAAATGTACTCAGGATTCGTTTTACCAGTTAAAGTAAATTTTCCCATAAATAAGATATTATAAAGTTGGTTAAAATGCTCTAGGCATTTCACATGTTTAGATTTCCATCCATTTTGCAATTATAAACAGATAATCTGTTCATTTAAAAGCTTAACAATGGCTAAAAACATCCAGTATAAGTCATAATTGTATCCATGTTAATAACAAGGGTTTTGACTGAGTCAGTTTTGAGGTTTTGTGATGAGAAAAGATTGTGCCCTGATACTGAACTTTTCTTATCTCGAAGAATAAAAACATAATCTTCAATTAGCATGCAGAGCATACAGAATCAAATACAGAGATGTATATATTAAAATAAGTACCTCAGTTTTGTTCACTGTGAAACAGTTACCTTTAACCTTTGGTGCCAAATTCATATACAAAAAAAGGAGTGCAGAGAAACTTAGTTGAGCTGTGAAAAGCCTAAATGTTTATTTTAGGTCCATTTTCAACCATTTTTAACCAAATCTTATTGTTCCTGAATGAAAAACCCCAGAATGTCACTGCTGGAGCACAAACATCCTCCATCTTTTTCTTGAACAGTAACAGGATGGATACATATGTTATCAATGATAACTGCCAACAGAGAGAGGATTCAGGAAAACTCTTCAGAGAAAAATCTGAAATCCAGCTTTTTGACATTTCCAAAACCAATAAAATATTAGGCAGAGTTAAGGAGACTCACTAGTCATACATTTCAACTGGTCTCTCTGGGAACACAACGATATCTTACTCAGAGAGGAAGGACTAACAGACGCTTTTCTTCCTCAGGAAGTTAAAGTAAACCTCCCCAACCTCCCTTTAACCCCACCCCGCTATCCTGCCATGTGTATCTGTAATTACAAAACATTTGACCCTCTGCTGTAAAAAGCAGTTTTCAAATTGAACTGAAGAAGACAGAGGGCACCTGCAGTACCCACTGCAGATTAGAGAGTGCATAATTAACACACCATGACTCTCCTGCAAAGACATCTACGTGGAAATACTGCCAAAGAAGGAAGTTTTATTTTGAGGAACCAAACTGAGCTTAATCTGTTCTCACTACCTTCTTCTGAAGACAGATACAGACTCCTCAGATTACAACAGATGTAAAACATATTTTTTAATCATCAACCTGTTAAAGGAATAGTACACCCAAAACATGATTAGCCTTCATTTTCTACTCACCTCCATGCTGAACAACACTCTGGAGTACTTTTTTGATATCTCAAATGCATCTGGAGATCTGGGAGGCTTCTTGCTGTCTGCTGACATTCAAATAATGGAGGTCTATGGCGCCCGAGACAGAAAGGTCCACAAAAGTCCACAAAAACTTGTCAATATTCCTCCATACTGCTCGTCCAATGTAATCCAAGTGTCCTGAGTGGGTAGCATCCAGAATTTACTCGAAACGAAGTCATTTAGAACGTTTTAGAGCCTAAACAGTAGTGTATAGGATTTCCTAATAGCGCCCCCATGCGCGCTCACGATTCTACGGAAGCCGGCAGACCAAACCAGCGCATTCAGCTCGGCAAAGAACTCATGCTCTTCCTCAACACTGAAGTCCTCAGACATTTTTCTTTCGTTGTTTCTTTCTTTGCACAGGTAAACAGCACATTTCTTCTTCTACGCTTGCATTATCGGCAGACCAGACGCTGAATGCGCACTTCCTTCCGGTTTGGTCTGCCGGCTTCCGTAGAATCGTGAGCGCGCATGGGGGCGCTATTAGGAAATCCTATACACTACTGTTTATGCTCTAAAAACATTCTAAATTACTTCGTTTCGAGTAAATTCTGGATGCTACCCACTCAGGACACTTGGATTACATTGGACGAGCAGTATGGAGGAATATTGACACGTTTTTGTGGACTTTTATGGACCTTTCTGTCTCGGGCGCCATGGACCTCCATTATTTGAATGTCAGCAGACAGCAAGAAGCCTCCCAGATCTCCAGATGCATTTGAGATATCAAAAAAGTACTCCAGAGTGTTGTTCAGCATGGAGGTGAGTAGAAAATGAAGGCTAATCATGTTTTGGGTGTACTATTCCTTTAAATGGAAAGCCAATAAAGCTCCAGAAGACGTAAAGTATTAGAATGCATTTATTCATTCCCTTACCGTTTTTTTTTATCATTTGATTTCAATCAGCTTTTGATTAGAAAGTGCATTACTCAGACCAAAATATTGAGTTTTTTGGTCTACATGCACATCAACAACTAAGATTGGACATACTGTAACCCTGTCACAGAAGAAAATCTGTTAAGGCAGCAAAAGCAAAATGAGACTAAGCTGGTGAGATACCATGCAGGACAATTACAAAAAAACAAAACAAAAAAAAATAGTACTAACTAAATCTAATGCTTCTATGGGTCGAATTGGATCATTTAAGTCCAGATTTAAACGAAAAATAATATCTACAGCAAGATGTGAAAATTGCTGTAGGCACTCTTTATTTAATCTGATTAACTGGAGCTATGTTGCAAAGACACAATGGCAAAAATCTCCAGCTTCCTCAATGCAAAGCTGGTAGTAAAATACCTCAAAACACCTGCAGATGTAACTGCAGTGGGAGGTTGCTCTATAAAAAAATATATTATAGTGGGGGACTGAAGAAAAAAATGCACTCTTTGCAGACTTTTTTTTTAAAGTAAATAATATTAGATTAAAACTTTTTTTAGTTTATCACATAATGTTCAATAAAAATGCTTGGAAGTTTTTGGCTAATAAACTATAGGAAGTTTAAAATCCCTTAGTAACCCAGTTTATGTGACTGTTTTATTCCTTTTGTAATTTGCCAATACTGAGAACAAATGATTTTGGAAACAATAAGTGCAGAGACATAGTTTGTTGTATTTCCATGAGAGCCACTAATTCAGTTATGGCACATTTTGCCAAGTGTCTCCCTGGGACTGTTCTTTTGTTTGTTTTTTATTTTATTTGCTCACTAGCTGAGAGCAGAGTTAATATTAAAGCCATATCTGCGCCCTCTGTGCCTTGACCATATCAACAGAGCATGATGGGGGGCAGAGGGGGGCTTTTAAGAGTAAGGGAGTACTAAGTCCTACGCTTTGGCTCATGAGCTTGGAAAATATTAGCAGAAACATAAATCATATTAATCCAAATATTTATGAAGTCTGCGCACATAAGACCCATTGTTTTAGAGCAAAAAAAAAAACAACACTTGAGGACTGTAAAGTCTGATAAAACAAAACAGATGCTTAAAAACTGCAATGGATGAAGAAGAGAGAGAAATATGTGGCTTGAAGCCTATTTTTTTTTATTTATTTTTTTTACTTAAATTGAATTTAGAATTTGGGATCATGTGACTATAGTGAATATGTAATATGTGCCACTATATGGAGATGCGTGCAGGCAGCAGTGGTGGGGGTGACTGACCTCTCCCCAGATCCATCTCCGTACAGCGCCGCTCAGGGTTACTGTGAACCCGACATTTAAACACAGCTCCAGGAGAGCGCACAGAGCTGCTGTAGGAAGAATTTGCCTTGGGTGCTCCCACTATGACCCTGTACACATAAAGAGAGGAGAGCATTGGGGGGAAAAAACAAAACAAAACAACTTAGTTCATCTCCAACATTTGCCCTGGAGAGGATAAAACAAAAGTATGACAAAGCAAACTAATTTGTTATTTTATGAGGGCCATATTCAAATATACACTTGTGAGTGCAAATTAAAAAATCAAAAGCATAATAATTAAAAAAGAGATATATTCCCAGCTGAGACTCACCAGCGTGTGTTTTCATGAAAATGTTCCAAGACAGAGTAGCCAAAAAAACTAGAACTTGGTCCTTTGAACACCAAAGGATGTTCTAAGTCAATATTATAAGAGCGAGCCAGAGAAATAAAGAGAAAGACATAAAAACTTTGCTGCACTCCCGCTCTGTGCCGCTGCGGAGGAACCATCCTTTTGCGCGTCGTGCGTAATAACGCGGTAAGAGTGTCAAAAACCTGATAAAACGTAAAGTTATGTGGAGAAATCCCCTGCCGGTCACCCGTCAAAAGTTTTGCAAATTGATTTTTAGTTGCTCCTGCTCCGTTTAGCGCCTCATCTGTTCTGCGGTGGCATAAGCAAAGGCTACAGGAGGAAAGTTAACAACGTGCGTCAGCTTCTCTCCATTCTGATCAGACTGGGAAAGTTGCTCGCAGACTCGCTTGGCTCAAATAAATGCAGCCAAGAGTCAAGTCCATCAGAGGTAGAGTGGAAGTAAGAGGTGTTATTTTTCCACATAAAAATAAGAGCACCACTTTCTGTGAACTAATTTTAAAGTCACTGATCGGAAGGCGGTACTTTATTATGAAGGGTCGGACCGGAAGCTCTGTTTGTTGACATTCTTTTCTGTCATAACAGACACAGACAGAAAAGAGGCGAGTGGTTTAAAGGCGCTGAGCATCACATTACATCCATGAGCTTTATTGGGGTTCAGGCACAACAAAAGAGGAAGTTGGGAACTCGCTGCTGTCCTCTACAGGCCGCAAATAAACTTTAAAAAGCATTAAATACTTTACATAAGATGCCTTGGATTCAAAACCTGACATTCTCTGATAAAACCAAACATATTGTTGGTGTTATTATTATTTTTTTTTTTTTGCCACCAAAGTGTGAAACTTTTTGCTTTTGTCTGAATGCATAAAGTTCTCTATTTCTAATGAATGTTCTTAGTTCATCAGGTAACTACCACAAACTTTAATGTGTTACTGGGCTTTTATGTGATACTGACACAAAATAGAAAGTTTTTTTGAAGTGTGATGAAAATTATACTTTTTCTTTGTCTTTTTATTTACAAGAAGAAATCAGCAGAGCAATATGTGTATCCAGCACCTTTTACAACTTAAGGGTCCACTTGTGTGCATATTTATCCTATTATAAATCAGATTTTTGTGTGAGTGGGCTGTTTCGTCAGAAAGCTTTAGTAAACAAAATAAATGTGCAACTGAGGGGTAGTTGAAAACATAGATGCCAGAACCCAGTTAAGGTAATTCTACACTAATCACACTAAACCAACCAACCGTTTTACCAAATAAATCACCGAAGACAAACTACATTTTTCTAAAGCTCTTGCTGTTTTATATAAAGGTATGGAGGACAATCTTCCTTTGACTTTAAGCAACAGCATAGGTGTAGCCAAATTTTATTATAAGTTTGGCCAGGCAATAACCAATGCACACTGAGGGGTGGCCAAAGGTGGCTAGGCACCAGAACCTCATGCTCAATATATACTGTTCCAACAGGAACACAAACGTCCATATGTCTAAATAAAAAAAAAACTATAGTTTCCTACAGCCTTTGCTAAAAAAAATTGATGCATTTATTTAAACATCCTTCTAGATAAAAGGTATAGTGGATAAAATTCTTTTAAATTTGCGTTCTGAAGCGAACATCTTTTCCATCGACATTACTTACCTACTTTTATCAATATCATTCTGCATTAAATCGATATTTACAATCATAATATCTACATAAATTCATAATTTAATAGGTTTTTATTGAAATAGTTATTTACAGTATCTATGATTTAACTGAAGACTGTTAGATGACTTGGAGAGACGCATAATTTTCTCTTTACCGCATACATCACAAAATCTAGTTCTGAAAGAGCATGAATTCTCTACTAATCATCTCCATTGTTGGTATATTGATGTGCATAATTAACCACTGTGTTTTTGTTAAGTAATTGTTAATATATGAAAAATTAAAATGTTTTAAATATTCTACTTGAGAGTATTACTGATGCCACCCTCTGTATTGGAGGGGGAAAAAATGGTAGGGGTAGCCACAGATTGGCTAAGGGTGGCCATGGTCACCCCTGGCCCCCCATCTAGCTCCACCCCTGAGCTACAGAGGGTTCCCCTTATCCATTGCACACCAGTTTGTGTAACATCCTGTTACTGCACACGAGCATTTATGTATTCTGTTAGCTTTGGTGACAGACATTCATTGCAGCTCCATTTTACATTCTGAAGATGGTTAGGAGTTACAAGAAGCAAGGTCTCTTATCATTTTATGAAAAGAAGAGGAAGGTGTCAGAAGAAAGAAATACCACCAGTGTGTATTTGGGAGATTCTTTCATGTCATGGCGGAAGAGCAAGGAAGGTCTTGAGCATGCAAAGTTACTGAAGTGACTTGGACATCTTTTACCCACATTTCCAGAAAAATATGTACTAAATCTTTAATCAATAATTTTTCTGTTTAGCATTTACATATATATACATGATTAAATGTGTTTATTTATCTCTAATTAACATTAAGAATCATATATGGCTTACAGAAACATATAAATGCCCAATAAATGAAAACTAGTTCATAAAGATTATAGATTCTGATTGTCATCTTTAATGTTAGTATATTGGTTTGAAAAAAATTAAAAAAATCTGTATTTTTCTTTTGAGATTATTTTTAATACACCAACAATTAAAATGTCAAATTAATTAGGACATTCTACCTGAGAGTATCAATGCTTCCACCCTCTGGTTTAACAGAGAACCACCACCAACATATGGCAACAACAATTCATGTTGTAGGGGTGGAAACAGGGGTGCCAATGGCCACCCCATCTAGCTACGCCCCTGTCTGAGCAGAACCGATTTCATGAGCAGAAAGACAAAAGTTTATTAAATATTTCATATCAAAGTGTATTCAGAATGGTCCAGATCTAAAATCTAGGAAGATATTAAGAAAAAAATTCAAAAGTTATTTTTTTTCCCAACACAATCTTGAGTTTGAGCTGTTTTCTAAGCATTACTGCCAGCTGGTAAAGACTCCCACCCAAAGACGTGCAGTAAAATGTGATTATCCATCTTAGTGAATGGGGCCTGAAGGCAAATAAAGGCCACACATATTTCTTAGAAATTGTAAGTGAATAACGAGAAAGGAAATCAGCAAATGATGGATCATTCTTCTTCCCGTTCATTATGAGATACTTTGTGTTGCTCTCTCAACATAAATAGGCTAAAAAAAGGTTTATTATGCTCTTTTCAACCTATAGCATATTTCTATTATATTCACGTTTCTTATACTGCACTGTTTATGTGCAATATGTGGGTGTGATTCAGCACAAATTTAGCCTAAAAACATTTGTGTTACAGTGCATCATACAACAGCATTAATAATAAAAAAAGTCCTCAGAGAAAGTTTTATCAAAGTTCATAAATATAAGATAAAAAAAAGATTTTTTTGTTAAATTTGTCTTTTAATTGAAAAATTCACTTTTTTTTTTAACTTACTGATAATTTTGAAGGTATTAAGAAAATTTTAATTAGACCTTTGAGAGCTTCAGCAAAGATTTAACTAAAGCACCCAAGAAACATCTGGTTAGCAAGCCTAACTGCCTCTTTAATATTTCTGCAATAAAGCTGCTTCCGCTGACCTACTGATGTTTAAATAGGCAAAAAGCATGATATCCTCCAGAATCAGCCATATGATAAAGACTTTATCTTCCTAATGTAAATTAATATTCAAATCTAATGGTATTTTGTAACAAAGAAAAAAGTGACTCAAGCTTAGAGTTTCAAACCCACATGTTTTAACCTCCATGCTACAGCTTTCTTTGTAAGAAACTTAATCTTCAGCTCTTTATTAAAATGCTTTAAAAAACTAAAATCAAAAGTAAATTATTCATATATATGACATATCATGAAAAAAGGGACAAAATCAAATTTTTGAATAAGATTTAATTTGCCATAAAATGTAAAGCCATGTTCCCTTTATCACAGTTTTTTTTATTACACAATTTACACTTGTGGAGTGTTGTAGTTTCTTAGTCAGTGTCAAAATATAAAGCATAAAAAAAGCTGCATTGAACAAACCAAGTCCAAAATCTTCTAATAGTGCGAATGCACAGTTAAAGGGTCGTCTACAATTTTAAAGAGGAAGCGAATCGGACAAAGTAACTACACAGGAACATATAAATCAAGTGACTGTCAACCTTAGTGTGTGATATCATTTATTGCACAAGCCTTTTTTTTTAATATAAACATCCTAAAATAACCCATAATATTATTAAAAACATAAATTATAGTTTAAGTAGAGATGGATTATAGAGGATTTGTGTATCCGTCAAAAAAAAAACAAAACTATTCCCTCGTACATTTGAATGAATTTTCACAAACTTCTCTCACACACACAAACACACATATACCCCAGAATGTGCTCACAAACACACAACTTTACACACAAACATAAAAAGACTTGATTCAGAGGGAAGGACTCCAAATAATCCATGGCAGCTTTCCCCATCAGCAGCATATCTTCATCATGAAGTTCTCAAAGCAAACAAAATCATCGTAACCAAGGCTGTGGAGAGACAAACATGACATTCATATTTAGCAAAAGGAAGATATGAGCTACCGAATATTAGTCATTGGGTTAATAACATGCTTACTATTGGTTTGGAGTCTTCTTTCTCCAAAACCTTTTGTGCTTGATCTGGAGAAAACTTGAGCATAGAAGTAATCACCTTAGCCATCGTCTGCAAAACAAAATGACATTTTCTGGTTTTAAGAAGAGAATTATCCACTTAAAAACAAAATGTACTCACTGCTACCTTTGACACATCACAAAATCCAATTATAGTTGCTCTGAGACAATAAAAGCCTAACAAGACAAAAGGAGAAGAATGAAAATGATCTCTATAATCAACTTCAGGCCCATCTGCCACTGAGCACGCATTTCCCCATAAATGCTGGAGATAATCAGAAACAGTGGTGCAGTGTAGGAAAGCTAACTGCTCCACTAACTCTAAACAAGGCCAGCAGGACATTAAATGGCAAATCTGCGTCATGCAGGATGCATGTGCTTGCAGGCAGCCTCTAGGACATCCTGCACACAAGAGGGCTGCCATGTAGTTTTAAAATGTAGGTGTTTGTTGAGAGGAGGGGAAAATAATTGCCGAGTTCAAGATCCTGTCATCTTAGCTAGAAAGATCGCTGTTCCTTCCGTTTCTGCATGATGGGAACACATTAACTCAATATCGCTCTGCAATACAGTTTAACCAATATTAGCTTATTTTCTGCAACTGTTATCATATATAATGTGAACTATAAAGGAAATCCCTTAAGAGTAAAAATAAATCAGCTGGATAATTAAACACAATCAAGAACTTCTGGTTATTCTATAGTAAGAGACAAAATATTAAGCACCAAGAACCTAAAGAAATGTTTGGATTTAATTTGGATCACTTTTAATCCAACGACATATGTAACCATATGTAACTATTAAGTAGCTGCCATGTTGAGAAATACAGTTTTTATAGCTAATGAAAGCAGGATTTTGTGTTGACTAACACTGAGTAGCACATGAGTATTAATTAAAACGGAAAAGGACACATGCTTTTTGAAACTTTATCTAAACTATAAACTTTATTTATTTAGATATATCCAACTATCTATTAACTTATCCTAATAAATTAAACCCAGAGTAACCAACTGCCATCTTTAGAAACAATAGATGCTGTGTGAGGTGAAATACTAACACTAAACAACTGTGTTGTAGGGATGCTTTTCTCCATCAGGGGAAGCTGGATGGAAAGATTTTAGCAAACATTTCACAGTTAAACACATTAAAAATGTCTCAATCCCTATAGGATTGAGCCATTTTTCAATAACAGTCTGTTTAAAGACAAAAGAGACATTCCCCAAAGGGTATGCAGCAGTAAATGAAGTCAAACAATTTTCAATTTAGACTCATGGTTTTAAAACCCAATTCTAAAAATTTCAGAAAAAAAAATAAAAATAAAAATCTACCATGATTTTAATTTGATTTTACGACATTTACTAATTTTTTGTTGGTCTGCCATAAAAAAAAAAAAAAATACTTCTTCAAATACATTGAAGCACATAGCTACAAGATAAAAAGAGTCAAATGCATAGAAAGTGCTCCCTGATCAGCTCGTTGGTGATAAATCAAGTTGCTAACACCTGCCCTTAAGTCAAAACTATTAGAAAATGCAACAATAAGTAAACAAGACAAACATGATTCGATTAGCATTATCAGCAAGTAATGGAGTTTGGTAACCTGATAAACCAGACTAAATGTGAGATTAAATGTGTAATTTAGTCTGGCTCCGAGGAATGAGACATCAGAAGATTGTTGATGTTGTTGATGTGAGCAACCCCTTGTCTTTCAAACCGCTATGTGCCTATTGGTCATCGCTCTGACCAATGAGCGCAAATGACTGTGACGTAAGTGAGACAGAAAGCTGGTTGGGGAGTGTAAACAGCCTGTCAGTAAAATAGCGAATACGCCCTTTTTTATTTATTTATTTATTGAAAAAAAAAAAAATAATATATATATATATATATATATGTATATAAGAGAAAAAAAAGAATACATCCTTCTTAAAAATAAAGAGTGTAGAGCCACTTCCTGCTCACGTTTCAACGAAAACCCCAAGTCTAAAACTGATTCCAAAGCTGAGTCAAACAAGAACTGTTCAATAGTTGTTGCTTTGTCTACATGCCCTAAAAACCCCGCCCGCTTTGCATTCAAAAATTCTAAACACATCTCTGCGTTGTGATTGGCCCGCCAGTTCTAGGGCCTGGGGCATTGATCGAGGCTTGACCACTCACAGGAAAAATTATTTTGGCTGCTGGCGGGTGGGGATAGTTCGCTGGGCTAGGAGTTTGGTAGTCGCATTTATTTAGACCTTCTATCAGCTGGACCTTTAAGGTAAGTTACAACATCTGGGTGGATAAATATAATGTGCAAAGAATTACTGCTGGTATCCAGCATCCGACTGACATGAGAGCAGAATTTAAACTGCTCTCTCAAATAATATTCATTTGGTTTTATACTGAAATAATTTCAATATAAAGACTTTTTCAGTGGGTGTATATCTGGGTGTTCAATGTGTTTTGTCAGAAACAATAAAGAACTCATAAAATAAAGGCTTACTTTTGTTTCCCGTCCCATCATGTATTCAAACAACACCTTCCTCAAGTACTCAATCTCTGTAGACTCTGACAGAGAATCTGGGGTTTTAATTCCAGGATCTGTAATGAGAAAAAAAGGGATTTGCATGGTTCAAATGGAGGAGCATGTTTTATAAAAAACAAACAAGAAAACAAACAAACAAATAAAACAAGGTCAATAAAAAGAAATAAATCTGCTATTACACATTTATCACCTTCCTATTATATAAAATTGAGCTCATCGCTCCATCTTGATTGAAAAAAGCCTCAAATGAAACTGCGTTGAAGAGTAAACCTCTACTTTTCAAATATTAAGTCTGTCACTTATATATGTGTATTTCTGAATTTTATTAATTAAATATTCCCCCCCTGAGCTACAATTGTTAATCAATAACCAGGACGGGGAAGGGCTAAATTTACAGTTTGGATGGATCTAGTCACAATTTAGCTGCAGCTTCAGCTTCAGCAGCTCTTCAATAAACAAAAACACTTACATGCTTTGTGCTTCAGAGCAACCATCATCGGATTTAATAAATGTCCTTGCATTTAGAATGAAAAAAGGGAAGAAGGCATCCAAACTACTCTTTGATCTCTGACACGGATTAAGGGGTCTCCGATAAATCCTGTAGCCTTTGTCCTCCTGACCTTTTCCTGCCCTTGGATGAGCTCACTACCCAACCAATCACTGCTTCATGAAACCAGTGATCAGCAGCCTAAGACCTCAGCTCTGGGTGCTCTAAACATACCTAATGGAGAACTTACAGAATAAAAGGAAGCTTGTAAATCTGCCAAACATATAGAAAATAAACTGATAGACATAATTTGTTTTCCTAATAAAGAAGACTTTAGAATAGTCTATACAGCAGTAAAGTTAAGCACACAGCCTGCAAAACCCATTATGTTTAAAAAGGTGGCTTCTTCACCACCCCCAAACTCCCTGTCAGCAGACCTTCTTTATTACACCAGCGGCCCTCCCTCAGTGTCTGCAAATACTGCCAAGTTTACGATAAACCAGAGAATACTGCAGACTTCTACCCAGTCAATTAAAGGCATACATTCAAGTTTATACAGACTACTCAACTATAATTCTTAACTTAAATAAAACTTCATTGCAAAGATGGTTTCTAGCAACAGACACATCATAAAGAAACTTGTTTCAGGGCTTTATATTCACAGCAAATATAGGCACATTTTGAGTGTGTGGATCCTGAAAATAACCGGAGTACTCCTAACAGTGGTCTGCACAGCATCAGTCACCCCTTCAATTACACTCATCAGCATAAATTATTTTTTCCAGATTGGGATGTTGGTGCAACTTTGAAGAAAAAAAAAAGTGGAGCTGAACTTTAATTAATGAATTAATTATTATTTAAGGGCAGATTTAATCTAATCTGCAATGGATCAAAATTATATAAACAATCTCAAATATACTCACCTTCACTAAGACTGTCAATACAATTCTTAATACACTACATAATTTCATCCACTTTGCATGATACATAGGTATTACTGGCAGGAAAAAGAAAACCAAACCCTTAAACCACCATGATACTACCACCCCCATGCCTAAAAGTTAGTTCAGAGTTCTGAGGTTCAAAATCTTTATCTAAACTCCTAACAACTCAATGTTTTATTTACAATATTTGCAGAAAGCTTTTGGTTCGTTAATCTGAGGAGTTTCAAATTTCAGAATTTCAAGGTTATTTTAGGACTAAAGGGCTTCTTTTTTAGTCGGAACATTTTCAGTAGATACTAATGTAATCTCACTTCACCACGGACGCTAGACTTACAGGAGGTCATGAAAGGCTTGAATAGAATTCGATTGTTATTTCTAAATACCCTAAAAAATGTTCCTTTCTTTAGAGCTGACAGTTTTTGGTCAGATACCTAACAGGGTGTTTGGTTCCAAAATGTTTCAATTTTGATTTAAGCTATAGATGAGAAACCAGGTCATTTAAAGCTACCATCAATACCGACAATTCATTGTTATGACATCATTATAAACTTTAGTGGATGTAAATACTGTAAAGTATTCCATCCATTTTATTGTATCTTTCTCATTGTTTATTCACTTTATTTCTGCTGGGATCATCTAAAGTGAAGTTGGAGCATAAAGTAGGAGTAATTGCTGATGCAAAGATTACCTTTGTATGTCCCCCCAAGATGAGTTACAACAGGACTGCGGTGGAGAAATTTGATCTTATCTTCAAGAGAGTTAATCTAACAGAAAGAAAGAAAAACATGAACAAGTTATTTTTGTGACCTTTAAGGGTTAATTTCTTTCAATCTGTTAGCTGGGATACAAGCTTTTAATGGCTATTAGGGGATGTTTATTGAAAAATGAAATCGGTGGGAGGTGTTGCTCCGATTGTTTACAGGGTTAAATCAAATGTAAACAGATGTGTTGAGCAATTAAATCGATGCAGCAGGAGAGCACTCTGTGTTTCTGCCGGAGGCCACAGGTTTCTGGGAACAGGCTCCTCTTTGGGTATCCCACTGCAGCGCTGACTCTTACCCTCTCAACAAACTCCTGCTCTTTCAGCCGAGCCTCGCTCAGGAGGGTCGTCTTCTCAGCGAGCTGAGCCTGCAATCAAAGCGACAGAGGATGAATGTCCTTCTGACAAGCAAGGGGAAAAATAAATAAACCTTTATTGTTTTTAAATTTCCACATTTAAAGTATATAATGCTTCTATAAACGATTACAGAAGGAGAACTGGAACTAGCATAATTACCTTTAGGTCCTCAGGGGTAACCTGTATAGGCAAAAAGAGGAGTCAGACATGTCATATAAATTATGAGATCAATAAATGAAAGTTTGTCTCTATTTTGAACCTTGGAGATATTAAAATTATCTGACATAATGAATCGTAAAATTATCAGTGGGCAAAACTGCAAAGCAAAATCAACTAGATGAGGAAAGGGTTCAGAAGAACACCGAAAAAGTAGAACCAGGACTGAACAGATTGATAGAAAGTCAGATGGATGAACTTAAGAGTCGAACAACAGATGACAAATGGATGGCTGGGTCTGAAATGAATGATGGACGGATATAAAATGGATGGATGGTGGTGTATAAATATTGTCTGGATAGAGGGATAGATATGTAATGTACAAATGAATGATGGATAACCTAATAATGGATTATTAATTGATGTATGGATGCACAGATCTTTACATCTGTCTGTGGTGAGGAAAGGCCTTCATTGGCACACATCCATCCAGTCCCAATGACTTCAACTGGGAAAAATGCAGCAGTCAGAGCAATATTATATCTGGTGTTTATTTTTGCTAAAAATATTTTTTCATGTAAGAAAAACCTCTGCACTGTTCTAACTGCACCTGGAGACATCTCTGTGGAGCCATTACTGGACACTTTCCAGTTAGCGTATAGAGCATCAGAGCATTCGGCAGTATAAATCTAAAGCTGGTGAGATAATAATTGAGACCAGAGAAGAGGCTGACTGCTGCCTCACAGGATCCGTTTCGTAAGGAAAGCATTCCTAAGCGATTCAAATGCAACCTTGCAGCATCCGGCGCCCTTTGGAGAGCAGCCACAAGACTGCAAAGAGACGCCATTCAAAGAGAAGGCAACTCTTGGACAGATTTCCTCTTTATTGAACTGCTATGCTATGCTCTTTAACCCATTTAGGCCGGGAAAGCATTACCGCATTTCTACCATTCAAGCCGGGGGTGCTGTTGCGTCATTCTACCATTGACGCCGGGAGAGCATATAAGTCAAGCAAGAAGAAAGACGTTTTTTTCAAGCAAACATGGAGGAGTTTGACAGAGAAGAGTTGTCGGAAGGCAGTGATTTTGAGGAGTGTGTCGGCTTTGATGACGGTATAGATGAAATGATGACTTTGAACGCGCTGAACCAATCGAACTACCACCGCAATGCACGGAGTGTTTTCAACCGCACACCTGGAGTGAAAGTTGATTTGCCTGCAGACGCCACACCGCTGCAGGCATTTGAGCATATTTTTAATGAAGAACTTTGGATGCATCTAGTTACCGAGACGAATAGGTACAGTGACCAAACAAACCAAACTCCAACAAGAGCAAAGATGGCAAAGTGGTCACCCGTGACTGTGACGGAGATGAAGACATTTATTGGGCTGTGTATGTAAACCTCTCTTCAGGACGCAGTTCCCCCAAAATATGTCCCGGGACAGATTTGTGGCCATCTGGAGGTAGGTTGTATGCAATTTATAACACAGACATATGCATTATTATGCATAATAATACTGTTAATAAGTAATCATCAGATAGTTATTTATGTAATGTTTGTTCTTTATTTTGAAAACGTTTTATATTGCACATTCTCAATGAAGACATGATCACATATGGAAAAAATAAAAGGTTGAATTTTTTTTTTTTTTGATTACTGCTTTTCACATTTTTTTTTTGGAAGAATTTCAAAGATAAAATATATTTTGAGTTCTATCTGCTACAGAAGCTGAGATATCAATAATTAAGGCGTTGACACAGTTGCTGAATTTACAGAAAAACTTCAGGTTTTAGGGGTATTTTTTAAAATCGGCCATAGGTTTTTAAGGTGTTTTTTCCAGGCGTTTTAGGCCTAAATGGGTTAACCTGAATTTGAACTTTCAATTTAATGTGCACTGAAATGCTTTTATTCAGAACTAAATTCGCGTATTTCAGCCTTTAGTCTTGGAGCTGAGAAAAAGAGTAACTTTATGTCACCATTAATGTTTATTGCAGCTCAAGAAAGGTGACTTATGATCTGAACAGAAAGGTTTTGTCTAAACCCCTTGTGGCATGTATATATAAGAGACTATATTGGCTGCAGCTATAAACCCTCCTATAACAGCACGAAGGTCCCTGATGCATCACTAGACTGTGACGCAGATGCTTGAAACCAGGTTTTACCTCTGAAGTGCTCTGGCAGCGTGACTGAAGCTCTTCTAGCTGTTTCTGAACCTGCCAAACTCTGTCTCCCATCTCCTCCTCTCGATCCTAAAAACAGATAAATAGTTACAGGAGTAGCAACTGAGGCACTTCCTGTTTGTTATCTTAACTTCACAATTCAACTATGTCAGCTGACCTTAGATTTCCCTCCGTTACATTGCCTTGCAAAAACTCCAACCCCGAAACTTTTCAAGATTTATTACTTTAAATGACAACTTTAATTAATTGAATTGGATAGACCAACACTAAGGAGTCCAGACTTGTGAAGAAAAAATAAATAAAAATGGTATTTAAAACCTCAATAGGAAGGAAGTCCAACAGAGTGTCTTCAGACATGATCTTGTTATTAAACCAAGTGTTTTGTATGCAGTGTAATAAGAGGGTGTTCTGTTAAGGCCTCAAAGTTTAACCTAATATTAAATAATCTCTGAAAATAAGACTCAAGACTGTTCTTAAGTAACTGGAAACATGACAGAGACAGAAACACAAATATAAAAAAGGTGGAGACAGAAAGATGGATAAATAAGATGCAGAGAGAAGCTGGCTGATCTTCCAGAGTTGTACCCATCCATGTGAATAAAGTTACAGTACAATCTTTGTGCTAAAAAATATTTTAGGGGATCGACATTTACCATCATACATTCAAGCTTATTTGTCACTCTAAAAACAAATGTGGCCTTTGAGAAACAGCAATGTTTGAAGTTTTCTAACCTACCTGTATAACCTGCTCATATTTTTGCACAGTTCTTTGCAGATCGTCGTCCTTCTGGGAAATCACCTTCCTCAGCTGGCTGGCCTCGTCTCTATGACCACTGATGAGCTCAGCTTCCACTGCCTGGGCCTTGGCTGGGTGCAGAAAAACAAGAATGCAGAGATAACGTATAAGTTTGAAGCTACCATAAGTTATAATTATGTTTTTTTACAAAAATGTTTTCACCAATTATCTTCAAAATTTTCTTGTACAATAACGTGATTTGATTGATTTCTATTTGATAAGTATTTGTCTGAAGCTGAAAGCATCTTGTTTTTGCTTTATTTAATCCCTGTAAACTTAATCTGATGAACAGTGGGGAAACTTGTGATACCTATGGTCTCCTTCACAGCAGAGTCGAGCTCCTTCTCCTTCAAAGCCATCTGTGAGTTGAACTCCCTCATAAGCTGCTTTATAGCAGAGTTGTGCTTCATTTCCACATCTTCCAGCTCCACCCTATAAAAGCAGACGGTGAAAATGCAGCTGGAAAAATAGCATCCAGCAACACATGGTGCATAAATACGGATAGAGACTTACTTTAGCCTTTTCTCATTCTCTTCCTGCAGCTCTTTCTTCAGATACTCCAGATCGTGTTCATGCTCCTTCCTCAGCTGTCTCATGTCCTTCTGTAACCTGGTAAAGTCCTTCTGGATCCTCTCTTTCTCGTTCTTCATATGGCTTAGTTTGCTTTTAAGAGTTTGCAAAGTCTGATCATCAACATCCTCCACTTCTGGCATAGGAGAGTGGTTAGCTACTTCATGTTCAATGGCGCTCATTGTTTGATTCAAGCTGCTACTCTCCACCTGGACTTCAGGCTCTGAAGAGTTCTGGACCTTACTAGAAAGCTGGCTGAGCTGAGCATCTCTTTCACTCATTTCATCTTTCAGACGATTTATTTCTGTGAGGAGGGTTTCATTTTGCTCTTCTGCTTCTTTTAGCTTTGCCTGGAGTTCATGCAGAGTCGTTTCAGTTTTTCTGAGCTCCACTTGCTGCGCGGCCTCCTTCTGAAGAGACATTAGCCTGTCTTCATATTCGACTCTCAGCTCTTCTAAAGATCTCTCTTTCTCAAGCCTCTCGTTACTCAGAATTTTCTCCTGCTCTTCTCTAACCCTGACAAGATCTTCTTCAAGCAATCTGTTTTTTTCCTCTAAGGTCTGCACTTGTTTTTTGTTCAAGGTCTCATTGCTCTTGTTTTCCTCCAGGCTACTCTGGAGAGACCTAATTGTCTGCTCCTTCTCCTCAAGCTGTGCTGTTAACTGTTTTCTGATCTGACTAATTTTCTGCTCCGCTTTCTTTTTCAACTCTGATATCTTCCGAGCGCTCTCTGCAGATAACCTCTCCTCAGTTCCTTTGAGACTCTCCTCCTTGCTCTTGTTAATCTCATCTTTCATCCTTTCAAATTCCTCTCTTTGATTCTCCAGTGCAAGTTTACACTTTTTGTTCTCCTCCTCAAGGGAGCTCAATTTTTCTACCATCTCTTGTTCTAAATTACCGTTTTGAGCACACTGCATTTGGACATGATGCAGCTGCTCCACCAACTCCTTCTTCTCGTTCTCCCTGCTGATATGCTGCTGTTTGAGCTCTGATGTGAGCTGCTCGCATTCTGTCTTCTTTAGGTCGAGCGTCTCCTGAAGCTCAGAAAGTCGGCTGATGCAGCTTTTAAGTTCTGATGTGAGGTCACTGACTTTCTGCTCTTTTTCACTCAACACTTGGTCCATCTCAGACTTGCTGATGGACTGATTGTCAATACTTGCCGACAACCTTTGCAGAGCTTCATTCTTTTCTGAGATTTCTTTCTCCAGCACTTCGAGCCTGTTCTGCAGAGCTTTAACAGTGTCTTCATTCTGGTTGCACTTTGCCTCGGCCTTCTTCTCCTGCTCCATCAGGCTTATCCTCAGCACCTCCGCCTGCTCCAATGCAGCCGTTCTCTCCTGCTCTAATCTGTCCATGCTCTCTTGTCTCTCCTTCTCGTACTGCTCCTTCAGCTTGTTTATGGCTTCCTCCTTGTCCTGCATGCTACTTGCAAGCTGATTTTTCAAGTCGGTGATAAGCAACTCATTTGTTTTCATGTTTTCTAACATGGTTCTGTTTGCTTCGCTCAGTTCCTCCATTTCCTGAAGCTGCTGGCTGACTGAAAGAGAGCTGCTCTCCTTCTCTTGAGTTAAGGCTTTGATATGCTCTTTGTGAACATCTACCTGAGCAGTCATGTGTTCTAATGAAATGCATAGATTCTTGTTCTCCTCTGTGTGCTGGAGGAGATTTTCCTCTAAAGTGCATATTCTATCCAACTTGGAACGGAAAATGCTTTGTAAGCGCCCCAGGCTCCCCTGACTGCACAGCAGTCTATCATTCAGCTCTTTAACGCGACATTCTACTCGCTGTTTGAGTTCATCAGAGGAATACTCTACTTTAGACTGAACCTCCTTACAATAATGGTCCATTTTGTCGATGATCATATCTAACTGCTGCTGGAATTCAGCTTCCTTCGCTTGCAGCTGTGCAGAAGTTTGCTCCATTTTACTCTCCATATCTTTAGTGTCTGTTGCTCTGGAAGTTTTCAGTGCTTGAAGCTGTTCCTCCGTTTCATTCAACTTATCAGACAGAGTCTTTAAACTTGCTTTACTTTCTTCTTCTGCAGTCTTCAGCTTATCTTGAAGGGCGTTTCTCTCATTCAGAGCCTGGTTCAGGTTCCTCTCCGTCGTCTCGATTTGCTCCTTTAGCAGTGCTTCTCCCTGAGTCAAACTTTCCAGTTTAACTGCTGCTTCATTAAGTTCTTCCTGCAGCTTCTGCACAGTAGTTTCACGGATTGCCAGGTCCTCCTTTAGATCTCTCAGTTCTTGCAGCACTTGTTGGTAGTCCGTCTGGTTTCTGCTGAGTTGCTGAGATGTTTCCTCCAGTTCCTGAGCTTTCTCTTGAAGGCTGAGTGAATGTTTCTCTGTTAGCTCTTCCTCCTGCAGGGCAAGTTTCTCTTGCCAACGATGCCCCAGTGCTTCCATCTCTTGCTTATGGGTTGTGTGCAGTTTCTCTAGCTCTTCTTTATGGTTTGCCTGCAGATCTGATACAGCACTGCTGAGGCCTTGTGAGCTCTTCTGAGCCATCTCCACAATTTTTTCTTGGATTTGCTGCTCTTTCTGCTGAAGTTCCACCTCCTTTTTTGCGAGTTCCTGCTTCATATTTTCTTCGTTTTGTTGTAGCTTTTTCTTGAAGCTCTCCTGCATTTCTTTGGCCTTTTGCTTTACCTTTTCCATCTTTGTTTCCTGTTTTTTCATCTTTGATTCCATCTCAGATATAGTGCTTTTTAGCTGGAGTTCATGAGCAGCTTTTTCATCATCCAGTTGTTTCTTAAGGCATCTTTGCTCTTCTAGGTGTTTTTGTTGCTCTGCTGCATATATTCTCTCCTTCTCTAAGAGCTTCTCTTTGATTTCTTCTAACTGATTCTGCATTTCTAGGAGCATCTTCTCTTTTTCCTGACATTTGTTGTTGGCAATTTCCAACTGATCCTTCAGCTCTGCCAAACTCTTCTGACACTGATCCAGATCCTCTGAGGCCTTATTTAACTGAGCATTTGATTCCTTCAAGCTTGTGTTTTCTTGCTGAGTTTGCAATAAACTCTGTTGCAGCTCTTCAATCTCCCTAATCTTTATTTCTAGATTTTTTGCAGTGGAATGTTCTTTCTCCTGTACTGTTTTCTCTCTAAGAAGAAGTTCTTCAACCTCTTTATCCTTTTCCCTCAGAACAATCTTCAATGCATTAAGCTCCTGTTTCAAAGTTTTCTCTACCCCTCCAATAGATTGCTCATGCTCATGTTTGATACTTTCAACCTCAGCACTGTGTTTTGACACCTGCTCTTGAAGCTTTTGCTCATATTCCTGTAGAGCTACCTTAGCGCTCTCTTGAGCTGCCACCAGCCTCTCTTCCAAACTTTGTTTACTGTTTAAAACCTCTGAAAGCTCAGCAGAAAGGGCCTCCAACTCTGACTGCTTCCCATCCAGTTTCTCCAAAGTCTTCAGGTTAATGTCTTCAACATGAGCCTGGAACTGTAGCTCCTTATCTTTTAGGAGGGTCTCCATTTCCGCTCTGTGTTTCTCCTTGATATCCTCTAAAGCAGCATTATGCTGCTGGATTAGAGCATCCTTCTCATTTTCTAGCAAATCCTGTTGTTTTGCTTTTAATCCGGCGATTTGCTCTTCATGGTTATTCTTCAGCTCTTCCAACTGAATGGAAAGTTGTTGAGACAAACTGGATTCATCTTGGGAGATATTGCTAACAGAGCTTTCCATCTCCAAAATCCTCTGCAATCACATTTATTGCAGGAAGTCAGATCAAATAGTCAGATCATTTCAAGAAGGTATTAGGTATGCAGCTATTGGTTATTTTGGTGTTTGATTATTATGGTCTTTATTTTTGAATTAATCAAAAAATAAATTTTTAATAAAGTAGCATTTCTCAATAAACCGAAGTATCAAAGTTTGAAAAAACAAAATGATTTAATGAACTGTAAATAGCAAAAATAAAAACCCAGTTTAAGTTTAAAAACATTGCAAAGACATTATGTCAATTCATTCCTTTGATTTCATAATCAATTGAACGAATAATAATCTGGCAGCAAAAGCTGCCTTATAGGACTTTTTCTCTTTTTATTTTACAAAATAAAAACTGGGCACATGTCATGTTTTAGAGTAAACTTTGTATTTAGCATAATGTCAAAAGCCATTTCATTTACTGATAAATTAAAGGAAAGGACTCTTAATACTACTTTATTAAAATATGATATTCAATTTTATACAAAATTGTTTTGAAAGTTTAAACTTTTAATGTCAATGTCTTAAAGTTTTTTTGTTGTTTTTTTTCACCTAAAGTTAAAATTAAACACTTAAAATAAGAAAAGCATAACTCACTGTTCTGGCAGCCTCCAGCTCCAGCTGTATCTCCTTCACTTTATTATCAGCTTCCATTCTAATAGCGGTCTTCTGTAACTCTGCATCCTCCATTGCCAGAGAGGCCTGCTGTTCTTGTTCCTTAGATAACTGCTCAAACTCCACTTTACATTGCTCCTGGGAAACAGAATCATTTGACATTTAGATCTTTCTTAGGTCTGTTCACATTATGATGCTTCAATTATAAATAAAGAAAGTGGCACCAACCACTGCTTTGCTGATTCTTTCCTTTATTTCCTCTTCTTTAGCAGCTAAAGCTTCGCTGTGGGCTTTTTCCAAATTAGCTACAGTTTCCTCTGAAGATTTCTGAAATTAATTATAAAATTAACATGCCTTCATAGAAACAAGATGATGATTTTTTAGAGGAGCAAAATATTAAAAAACATAGAAACATTGAAAAAAGTTCTAACATTAAATAAACCAACGACCTCCTTCAGGAGAAAGATAAAATCATGACTACTCAGCAGAAGTTACTTTCTGACCTTCATTATTGCAACAACTTCCTGTTTAACTCTTGTGAGCTCCTGCTGAAGATTCTTCCTTTCCTCCTCACTTGTCCTTTCTACTTCTTTTACTCTCTCCTCAAGCTGGACTTGCAGCTGTTTTCTGGCCTCCTCTGCCCTCTGAGCCTCACCCAGAGCCCGTTCTAGCTCTTCAAAAGCTTCAGGACATGAACAACTGTTACCATTTAAAGCGGTACAATGTTGTATGATTTCAAACTTGATTTGCCCTAACCTGATTTCTCAGCCTTTTCCTTCTGCTCTTGTAATTCCTCCTTCTGGGTTACAGCCTGCTGGAGTCTGGAGCGTAACTGTGCAACCTCCTCTTCTTTCATTTCCAGAGTCTCGTGCATCTGCCGCTTGGTTTCAGCGATAACCATTCCCTGGGAAAAATGTTAAACTAAATTAACATATGTAGTGATATGCAATGATGCAACCCAATTATCAACCAACCAAAATAAGCTTGATGACTCTGACTGATATTTTTCTTTCAGAGTATGACTGCACATCAGTACTTAGGAAAAACATCACCAGTGCATCTTCAAATACAACCATAATAATAAAAAACGTTTACTAATGCTTCGAGTATGTCTGCAATTTTACACCCAAGTTAAGCTGTTAATAGCATTTGACATCCACAATGCATCACATTGCATGCCTGAGTGCTTCAACTCCCTGTAGAGCAGAGGTCAAAGATTAAGAGAAACAATATGGTGGATCACTGTGTCCAACCTATTCAGCCAATGACTGAGGAAAAACAACATACTTAAGCTACAAGCCCTTTAATCAAGATGTAAAAAAGTAAAAGCTTCTCACCCACCTTGTCCTGCTCCAGTTGCTCAATAAGATTTTTGGCATCCCGTAGCTGAGTGATCAACTTAGTCTTTTCTGTAGTATGCACATCCTTTGAACATAAAACATTGGACAGTTGAATAGATCAATATAGAGCACCAGCATAACTAAGAGCTCTTCAGTCCAACTCATTTTCTGTATAGGTTCTGATCAGAGAACTTTAAAATAAGATGTTTTCTGCACCTCCAAGGTTGGCTCACCCACAAACCAGCTAACACAAGCCCAGCTAAACCGACAACTTAACCAAAATTACAGCACAGAGTCCACATGTGGTAACCATGTCTCTGTGCGACCACAGATTTACAAGTGATTACAGTAGAGGAGGCTTAGTGGACTTGAGCTGCTACAGGCCTACATGGCCTTTCCATTAAATATCAGAGAACAGGACATCTAAAAGGGCTTTAATCTGTAAAATATGTTCTAGTCTAGCTGCTTCAGAAGGCATTACACCTGTTAAACTTTCCTTTCCAAAAAATAAAAAAAAAACTGCTCAGAGAATGGACCGGGAAAACCATGGAAATAAATGAGATCTAAACGACCTGCGGCAGCAGACTGGCCGTCTATCAGGACAGTGTGTTTTCCAGCTGTAAACAGCTGCTATCATATGCTGCAGAACATGATGGTAGATATGGAGAAGAAACAGAAGTCAAACATACCACTGAAGCAAAATGTTTTGAGTTTAATGAAAACAATTGTTCAGTTATGTCAAGCTGACATGACACGACCCCTCGCCATGGACCCTGGCCAGAGAATCTGGATGTTTGGACACGGAGTACCACAGCTATCCACTGTGTCACTGAGATAATGGAGTCACATTCTCACTGAACCGAAAAGACTCTGGCAGACATTTTGAAGCATGAAATTCATTACCCCAACACAGCTTTGTCATTTGAAGCCATATCCTCATTTAAATAACTGCAATTTTTTTATAGAGACCTAAAATATAGTTAAAAACGATCAATAAAAAAATCTTTTTAAAACAACAAAGTATTTGAAAACATGCAGCTGTTTATGAACTTCATAGCTCTGTTTGACTTAAAACAATGTGAGTAATTTGTACTTGAATTGTACTGCTTTAAAACTCAGTTTGAGCACCTTTATTTTCTCCAACTCCTGAAGTCTCTCCTGCAGCTGCAGCTGCAGAGCCTCGTTCTCACTGCTCAGCTGTATGCTCCGCTCCTTGTGTGTCCGCATCACTTCCTTGCACTTGTGTAGCAGGTTTTCTTGCCTCTTAACCCTTTTCTGAAGATCCTCCATGAGTTTGGCTGGATCACTGTTGCCCTCTACTGCTCAGAGAAACCAAATGCACCAGTCAAACACACAAAAAAAGAGGGTACCTAACCTTAATGAAGAAGTTTGATCAGAAAATTTCAAACACTGCAAACATTATCGAAAAATAAGTAGAATTTTTTTAAAATAAGATAATTATCCCTTAATTTGAGTAGGTAAATAAGATGATCTGCCAATGGAATTAATATTCCATTGGCAGAGTAGTATTATTAGTAGTATTAGTGAATTGTCTTGTTCCATTGGCAGAGTCTCACTTACCTGCTTAATTCAAGACTAAATGCACTTGTTTTAAGAAAAACATACTCACTCATTAGATACTTAAATTTACATTTTGTGCAGGGATGAAAGCTCAAAGACCTTCACAGGTGGACTATATTTACTAAAGAGGTGAGAGATCTATCAAGAGTCTGCTTACCCTCATGTGTCTCTGATTCCACTCCTTGTTCTTTTGATGGGCTTTCAGCAGCAGAGGTAGAATCTGAAGCCGCTTCAGCCTCAGAAGGAAGAGGCTCGTCAGAAACTCCTTTAACTCGTTTTTTCAATAAGGCCACCTTTCAGAGAGAAAAATAAACAACAATCTTCAACATGTTGATTATTCTTGTTTTATGGTCATTGCTTCATTTCGTGTGCAGAAAAATTATAACAACTTTGCAAAATCTGTTTGCAATAACTTGGCAAGTTTTAGGTTCAATTTTGAGTTTAAAAAACACTTTCAAAAACCTGATTAATATATATTAAAACTGTTATCCTAGAATGAAAATATTCCTGTTAACTGTATGTTTCATAGGTTCCTCACCTGTGTTTGAAGGACACTGATCATCTGGTCCTTCTCCTCCAGTGCAGCATCAAACTCATCCTGCAGGTGTTTCTTGGCCTGCTGGTCCATTTGTAGCTCCTAAAAACAAAGACACAGAAATAGCAAAGTTAACTTAGCTGTGCAACTTCTGTGATTATTAGATAGACATTAGCCATTTAAAGCAGAAGTACCTCACGTAGCTCCCCTATCCTGCGTAGTGCTTTATCTTGACTCTGACTGAGGATGGCCTGCGTAGAGGACAAACAAAACTTCTGAATCGTTTCAAAAAACATACAAGAATGATTTAAAACTGTATTGAAGTTGAACATACCTGTGTTTTCTCTTTTTCTCGATGCACTGTGCGGTATGCAGTCACCAGCTACACAACAAAGAAATGGGCACAAAAAGAAAGATTACTTTCCTATTCATGCTTAGGATTTTCATTCTCCTTGGAGCCAGTCCTGTGTCTCACCTCAGAGTACTTTCCTCTGTACTTCCCTAAACTCCTCTCCACCTGAAGCAGCCGGTGCACCAACTGCTCTTTAGAAAGAGCCTCTGCGCTCCCTGGTGGCTCCTCAGCTTCGCTTTCGATATCTGAGGGAGGGTCATACGCTGGGGCCCCCGAGGGCTCATGTTCTCCCAAAGGTGTCAGGGAGTCATGTGAGGGGCTCCGAACCAGGTTTTCTTTAGATGAGGAGCGAAACAGATTTTCAGCCCGACTGGCACCGCTACGAATCAGTGACTCCATTGAAGGAACTTTCAGCTGCAGTTTCTGCGCAAACGATTGTGCCTGCGACTCCTCTCTCTGCTGACAGCATGAAAGGGAAAACATTAGGGGGCGTGTGACACAATTTCTGTAATAAGCTGAAAGTCATGGAGGACATATAAACATACATGAGGAGAAGCACTGTCATCTCCATTGATGCTACCTCTGGGAGATCGTCCAAGTCCTTTGGAGGCAGTCTGAAGGATATAAACACATGATCAGAAAGGAAGAAGCCGTGACAGTGAACCTGGGCCAATTAGTCATCCACACCCAGCGTGGCTCTCCCTGATTACTCTGAAGGGAGCAATATTAGTATTGCTGGGAGCAATGCAGGGGCAATGGGTACCCTCATGCAATTTGGAAAAACAGAGGGGTTAAATACAAAAAAGAAGGCATCTCTACTGTAAAAGAAACTAAAACAAAGGGTTAAAACAGTACTATAGAGAGCAGCCATGAGCTCAGACAGACAGTTAAAGTCAGGTAGGAGGGCTGGTATTTGAATTAGAGATGCTTGGCAGTGCTGTGTGAAGCTGTATTAGAATATTACAAAGGCAAAACAGAAGGAGGTGAATATATAGCAGCCTAGTTGGTTTGATCGATTTGTTATCAGCTTCATAGAAAGCAACCATTCTCCTCACTTGTCCAGCTCCTAAATACCCCTTCTTCTATAGGTTACAAAGCAAATAAATGCATTTTCTTTCTTTATTTGTGTTTATTTACCTTCTCACTTATTAAGAAATATGTGGTAGGGAAAAATACATATATATTTCAGTTTTAAATGGTTTATCAGACCAAAGCTCTGCTTAAAAAAAAAGCAAAAATATCTAAATTAAAGATGGATAAAGTTTTAGGTGAGCTGCTACTAAAGTTTCTAAACAGTAAATATCCCACATGCAGTAACACTCTTTCTTGGCATTTTTACTTTGTATAAATTCCGATTCATTAGTCCAAGGGTGCTTAAGCATTCTTAAACCATTCTCAAAAACATGGAAGCAGTTTATGTCGACTATTTTATGAGCCTTTAAGCCAATATCGTGTTTGCACTGGGCGGTTATTTTCACAGAGGCTGATGATTAATTACACACAAATGTTTGTAGTGGGTGGTGCACCTTTGCAGATGTTCCTGTGGGAAACGTGTACTTAGAGCAGATCATGATAGGATTTTCTGGATTGAGAAACAACTAGGTTTATTTTTAAAGATACAGTATGTTGTGTGGTGGATCGACTGCACTGCAGAGGTACTGATGGTGTCTTCAATAATAGGAAAGTTTTATTTGGAGGTCAGTATCAGTGTTTATGGTGATCTGATTGATGCAGATACATATTAGATTTATAGTAGGCAAAAAAAGATGATAAAACCATTTTTTTATGTTACATTTACCATTTTAACTTAAAACTCATCTTAGATTTATAGTAGGCAAAAAAAGATGATAAAACCATTTTTTTATGTTACATTTACCATTTTAACTCAAAACTCAGCTTCAGAAATCATAAAAGCAAGGCCTTTGACGGGCTTCAAAGGATGTCTCTCAAAGGGAGGGGCTTTTTTGGAGGTTTTAGACGTAAAACAATCCAGGTTTGAAATTTAGGGGAAATTAAGCCACACAAAACACGGAATACAAAATTCTTGTGAGCAGACATTTAAGGCACAATTTGTATCACTATATTAAACAAGATTACAGGGGAATAGATTACGAAACAAAATTTAACTGCACTAATTAGGAGATTGCTTTAAAATATTTTAGTATTAAATGTTCACACACTGAGGTGTTCGCTGCCCTTTCATGCTATTATTGTGTATAACTGAAGAAAATCAATTAATCTATCTTTTAGTTTAAAAAAAATTATAATTAAAACCACATCACTAAAGCATACACCATAGAAGTACTCTGAAATTCTCTGTTACCAAGCAGAAAGTCAATTTAAAGTTAACCCTCTGAGGCATTATGGTCATTTGGAAGAACAAACATAAAAAAAAAACTATAAAAATGTTCTGTAGTGCAAACCGTTTAATGGTCAACTGGAAGTGATTTAGAAATCAACATTATGTGAAGACATAATGTTGAAGAAACATGATAGAAATTATGAGATGAATTGAATTGATAGCTGCAGCTATGCACCATATATAAATGCTCTGAACTTCCATATCAATGTGTTTTTTTTTTCTCACACACTGTTCACATTTGATCACTACTGCCCTTTAAGAAATGGAAATTGCATGAAAGCTATACAAAATTAAATTTTGTTTTATACACTCTGTGTATACAAAATGACAGTAAAAGTTGTCTAAGTCCAAGCGGTCACTGCACAACATCCAAACTCAGACTACTGGCTTCTTATCTGCAGAATTAAAATCATCTCATCAGAAGGGCAAAATGGCAATTATCTATCAAATATACAGACTTATTCTAAACAATTACAAAACAGTTCATTGGAAAGAAGAAAAAGGTTGTTTTGTCTTTTTTTTTTTTTTTCCTAAAATATGCCTATGCATCAAATTTGAGCACTTAATAGAGTTTCAATGCAGGGCTTTCTTCACTGGAGTAAACATCAGTGACGTTACTATAAATTATTACTATAAATTATTTCACAAATTCGATAGTAAAATTACTATCGAATTTGTGAAACATCTTATGTTTTGTTTTTTTGGTTAACATGTCCTACATCTGTTTATAAATTGTACAGATTGTGCAAGCATTTTTTCTGGGTTATGATCTAAGGGGATAAAAAGAAATTAGACATCATTATGACTGACCTCAAATTTGGATCAGCCAGTAAAAAAATGGGGAGAACTGCTTGTTCCAGGGCTATTGATTTAAACCCCAGGGGGAACAACCAATCACCTGGTAGGAGCGGGCACAGGGATGGCAAATGATTGACCAGGGGTGGCCAATGAACACAGTAACATCCCTGACACCAACAGGTCACTCTGAAATCCAAACCATGAAAATCTTTCAGAAACGGGTCTACCCGCCGGTTATGTAAGTCATCAGCAGAGAAAGACATCCGTTTATCGAAATTTTTGAGAACAGTTTAACATTTTGTTATTTGTCTTTTTTTAATAAGTAAATAAAAACCTGTTTTACAGGTAGTGCACGTTTGATGTGTCATGTCACCGCTTCTCCTTATATCGACAATCAAAGGCAGAAAATCTAAAGAAAAATTCTAAAATCAACCAGAATTGAAAGCAATATTTTTCTAAATGTGTCTTCTAAACAGACAAGTCTTCAGAGGCAGTTGGTACTAAACCTACTGCTGGGAATCTGTTTACACTGTACACAATGAGATAGAGTTCACATCTATGTAGCCTGGAGACTGTTTGTCTGCCTACCAAACAAGTAATGTTCAATACTGAAACACTGTGAGCCATTCAGGAAGAGACAGGTCTTCTTACCCATAATGGACATAACACAAGTGTTTTGCATATAATCTGTAGTTTTATTTTTAATAGCAGCTCATGAATCATGCTAAATAGAAATCATTATTAGTGGTTTAGAACCAAATTTGACTTCTTTGTGTTGTAAACTCAAAATGTAATCTGTAATGTTTCTCCACCTGAAATCATATAAACTTTAAGGCACTAAATCAAACAGAACCTACTGGGTTTGTTTATTTGGAAGAGATTTGTTTAATTTAATTTATTGACCTCTACAGGAAATCTAAATTTTCCAAATAAACAGACCTGGAGATTGGGGACAAAGGCCACAAGGCAAATTTAGCAGGATGTTAGGAAGGCCTAAAAAAAACAAGCAGCTAAATGTACTAAAAAACAAAGAAGGGGTTCTTAATTTTTTTGCCAGGTAAAGACAACTGAAAGGTTCGGGCAATGACAAAAACAGGACACAACGCACAGAAGAACCTATCCCACAATACAAACCACAACTCCCATTAGATGCAGGACCGGGTTACTGTGTTAGATGCCTTCTTATTGCTAAGTCCAAAAGGAAACGGGACCAGGGAACAAGCTGTCCCTACTCGAGACACAGTCCTCTAACGATTCCCCAAACGCGCAGAAGACGGGAGGAAGGAACGGGACAGGAAGAGGAGAAGGAGAAGCAGGAGGACGAGGCAGGAAGTGAGGACAAACTCACCACACTGGCTACCTGGGCCGTTTTGGGTCGATTTGAATGGTCCAGAGCAAAGATAGTATACTCAGAGAGAAAAGCGGGCTCTGCTATCATCCCGGCCAGCATCTGACCCCGTCAGTGCAGAGTCGGGACGAAAGGTGGGGAAAGGAGAGGAACACAGAGAGCAATGAGAAAAAAACAACACCATGAAAGTGAAATAGTGCTGAGGGAGTGGAGGGAGGGTGGGGGGTCTAGCAAGGCTGTCCAAAAGTAAGCTGGTCAAGTGTGGTAAAGATGGATGGGAGAGAGAAAGCAGAGAGTGAGATACAGAGAGACAAGACATGAGCTGGAAGAAAAATAAGAAAAAGCTGAAAAGTGAAAGACTTCATTAACATCAATGAATCATGATCAACAGTTTGACATCTCTTTACAATTTCATTTATACTAAGAAAACTGATTCCAGTGACCAAATAAACAAAGGAGACAAAGATGTCAAAGTGTTACAGAACCATGAGATGGGAAAAAAGATGTGATGCCACCAGAACCTTTGTTTGCTGATACTAGGGTATAAATACATCATTATATTTCCCCTAAAGGCAGAACCTAGTGCATAAATATTCACCTAAAAAGACATTCTCCTGTTCTATTATGCGTTATGTCCGTAAATAATATGTAATTGATTTATTTGCACTGCACCAACGCTAGTTTTAAATGAAAAATTTAAAAGATAAATATTTCAAGACTCGACATTTACATTTTAGCACGTCAGGAGATACACCAACCATATGCTGCATCATCTTGCAGTCATAGCCAGTACGCCTCTGGACGCCCAAAGTGCTTCTGATTTATCTAAAAATACTTCCACAGACTAGCCCAGATCTGCTGGAGCAAAACAACCAGTTTCCAGAAAAACACTGAAAGGAAGGTACATAAATTATTCATAAACACTAAAACACAGGCTGCTGTCCTTAATTAAACCCAGTGTTTTATAACATATTGCTGTCTTGTTCACCTTCCCTTTGCAGAGGAATCAGCAGGATGTGTTGGTGTGTTACTGGGGTAGCAATAAGCAAAACACATTACAGATTTGTTTTAGGGATTCAGAGACAATAATTTAGACAGAAAATCAGTGCATAAGCGGAGTCGTTGCTCACCGTTTCGACACAAATAATGCATATTCATTGCAGACAAACATATTAAAAGACCGGCTCCATGCTCACCTGTCTGTCACTGGGGAAGGGTGAGCCGTCATGATGGAGAGGGAGGGTCTGACTGCCGCGTCGGTCTCCACTGCCTGTCTGCTAGGATAGATTGATCTGTTTTTAGGATCTTCAGTTTTAAAATAATGTTACAAACCCATAATTTCACATATTAATATCAAACTTTTAGCTACTGAATAAAGTCTTAATTATTATCTACCTCATTTTGTGATTTTCTTCAATTTGTAGTAAAAACATGCTAGGTTATACAGATATTGAACTGCAAAAAGCACAGACGAGAATAACTTGGGTGCAGATATATATAGTAAAACTCTTTGCTTTTTAAACATAAACTAAAACAAACCCAAAATAAAGACAATCCAGCCAAGTGTAACAATAAAGAATCCATAACCATAACCATATGTCTGAGCTCCACCTGTCGTCCAACAATACTACTTTGATGTCAACAAAATTAGATTTCTGCTAAAGGGGACATTTGTTTGCAGACCTCCAATAACTGTATAGCCCATTTTGATTATAGATACAGGATAATTATACAATCAGAAATCCCCGTTTTAGATAACTTATGGATCCTATTGAACAAGTATTCAGTAAGATCACAGGGCTGTTTGTGCTTTTAGAACATTAGATTGTGGAACCAGGTGGTGACAGGAGCACATGTGTGAAAGTGTTGAGCATCCAACAAAAACAGAGTCACAATCCTTATGCTGGAAATACACATTCATTCTATTCCACACTGTTCTCCAGCTTCCTTATTCTGTTAGTAACATCAAACTGTTGACGATTGTTATGAAATAACGGATTACCTGTTTTGTATTTTAACTAACACAACCCTCGGTCTATCTCCTGAGGTGGATGTTGTTACTGACAGACTCATAAAGAGCAATTTTCTGTATTGATTAATCGATTAAAAATGAAGTCAGAGAAAACTCCCAAAAATATAAGAATAGATTTAAAACTAGAAATGGACAGATCCGATATTAATACCCGACTCTGTCCTAAACCTGAAGAAAATTATAGGTCAGGTATCGACGAAATGTGCCTGATCCACAGGAACAGATGTATTCAGTCTGGTTCTATAGGACATTTAATTTAGGTTAAAAATTGCTTAATCAGTAAAAATGTATTTGTTTTAATAGATACAGTCAATTGGAAAACTTATAATTGCAAATTTGTTTTCAGGATGCTGTTGTTTTTTTTTTAAAGATGATTTAATGTTTTAAAGACTTTCTTTTCTGACCTTATACTAAACTCAAGTTAGCTTTAGGATACTCATTCGAATATTGATATATATCAATGTTTATAGAGACTTTAAAAAAAATAAAAAATTAAGAAAAATAAAGAAAACAAAGCTCTGGTATAGGAACAGTATCTATAGGTCTCCTAAATTGAGTATCAGATTTAGAAAAGAGGAAAAATGTGGATCGATGTATTCCTATTTAAAACACTATCATATCAACACGTTAAGATGGGCCTCTGGCTTAATAACCTTATGACACTTACCATTGAAGTTACAAAGAAAGTAATAGCAAAAACTTACAAAACAAAGAGATTTAAAAGTACTATTTTCACATGTTATGATTTTAACTAATCATTACAGATAAGTAAAAAACGAATTAAAAGTCAGACCACCTGAGGTGAGTCTTTAATGTAGGGCAAAGTGCAAAAACCTTCAACCTTCATTCTGCAAAATCCTAACAAGCTGCACAAGTCACACCTAACCTGTCAACGTGTTTAGTGAGATTTAAAGCTTGTATGTGCTCTAAAAAGCATTCATGGTTCATTCCTTATGCCATTTTCTACTTTCCAGGACAACCAGAAATACCAGTTCAAGTTTTCTATCAACTATCCATTTCAACTACAAACAGCTAACCTAGAAGAATAGCTTAGCATAGTGCTAAATATTTCACTTCCAAGTTTATTGAAGTTGATTTAATGTAAAGTTATTTAGATTGAACGTGACACAAGGTTCCCTTCAAGTCACAAACTCCTTTTCTGTAAGAGTTTATGAGCTGACATCCTAGCAATAACACAAACAGATGTTAGCTAAGTTAGCTCAACTAACCTGGGCCTGCTGCTGTCCTGTCTGCAAATTCCTCTGCGGAGACTGCTCCTCGTTTATCTTCTGCTTAAGTTTCTTAAACATTTTATCACGCAACCGGCAAGTGGATGGGACACTTTAACTATACGTCAGTAAATTGGTTTTATTTTCAGCCCGTTATCCAGTCTTCGGGGCCTCGACTTCCCTGTTCGCATCAGCAGGTAACAACGTCTTCTGCGCATGCGCGGCCAACGTGGAAGAAAGCTGGATGTCCAGATTTAAAGTGCCAGTCCGGCCTAAATGTAAACAGTGCATTCACACACGCTCTATTTTGTACAAAGATGTACTAAGTTGATATTAATGACATTTTTTTTGTATTTTATGTATATATGTATTTATTTATAGGATTTTGGATTTTATAGCTATTTTGCCAGCATTTAAATGTTCTGGTTAGATGACACCTAGAATTAAATGTTTTGGCCTGTGCACATAATGCAATGCATGGATTAAAAAACAACACAGCACATAGCCCTTCATATACAACTTTCCTATCTTTTTTCTAGCATGGAAACTGAACAGACTTTATGCGAAGTGTACAATGGAGCAAAAAAACCTAGAAGAGGTCAAGCCTCAAAATATTTAAGACTGGAGGATCACCTTAGAGGAGAACAGTGACTAAAGTATTTAATCAGTGCAATGGTTCTGCTGGAGGTTTCTTCCTGTTAAAAGGGAGTTATTCCTCTCCACGGTCGCTACAAGCATGCTTAGTGTGAGGGATTGCATTTGAGTCAATCCAATCAACTGGTTTTCCTTAGATAGAAAACTGTGAATCAGTTTGACTGATCTGGTTGAACTGTAAAGTGCCTTGAGAAGACTTGTGTTGTGAATTGGCGCTATATAAATAAACTGAATTGAATTTAATTGAAATTGAATTGCAATGGAACGATTTGGGATCAAAACATTTTTACGATGGAAATAAATCTGAGACGGACCCAGTCATAGTACTACAGACCTAAAGTCAACTGATAGCTATAACTAGGATCAAAGGTAGGTGGTGACTTATTAAATTTTCTCAGATACATTTAATTGAATAAGAGAATACATAAAAACAGGAACTTTAAAGAGTAATTTTGATTTCTCTGTTACTTTTTACTGTAGTAAAGTGCTTTAATTATGAAGAATCCCTGCTCTTACTATTGCTTATATTTTTTGGCTACTCTACCCTTCAAAAAGAACCTCAATAAATAAAGAATAGGCTTGTTTTAAATGAAAATGCACCAAACATAAATTGGAAGTTAAAGATTATGTTAAAAAACTCATGATTTGTTCTACAAAAGCTTTGGTGTTTTAGTCTCCCAATAATCGACTTTGATAAGCCAATTGGGAGAACTGTGAAAATACAGTAAAAAGTAGATATATTTAATACAGGTCTTACAAATCACCTACTGTATTGTAAAAATTGCGTTTAACTACAGCTGCCCATATTCTTGTCTTCAGCTACCACAGTACACATGTACTTCAGCAGTATCAAGGTGTTACTTTATTGTATTCTTATATTATATCCGTCGGTTGTGCTGTTCTTTTTACATCTCTTTGCAGGTGATGAAGCAGAATGAATATGTTTTATTGTTATCTCCCTTTTATTTCCCCTTTTATCTCCTCCTTCTTTCATCTTTTCTCCTTTTTTCTCTTTTTCCTTTCCTGTTCAACCACATTGCAATATCCATAAAATCTGTAAAACTCCCTGCATGAATTATGATAAAGCTATATATATATGCATAAATCAAGCAGAACACTATGGTTATAGCCATACTGCTCCACTTGTGAAAGCAAAATGTTGGGCTCTCTTTTTGGGCATCAAGACAATTATTCTTATTGCCACATCGCCAGAAAGGACACTGTAAAAAAAAAAAGTTTTCATATAGTTTATGGTGAAAATTTTATTTTGAAAAGTTTGTGTCATGCATAAAATTATTGTTTAGAAATAATATTTTTTTTGTTGAAATTATTATATTCTGAATTTGAACAAAACTTTACACACTAAAATGTAAATAGACATTGGCTTATTTACTTACTCACTACTTGAGTAGAGTTTACACTGGAAAAAGTGTTTTATTTATAAATATAATTTTTTTGCAAATTAATACATTTGCAATTCTTTGAAAAGCCCAATAGGTAGAAATGCATTATACGGTGCTATAAATGTCTGCAGACAGAGGACTATAAAGGTTTTCTTCTATCAAACATCTGAGGCACAGAATAATAATATTTTCAGTTACACCTTCGATGTTAGTTTTGGAAATGAAAAAATATAAACAGTTCTTACAAATCCATTTGAGGGAGATGCACTGTAAATACATGCAGCAGTTTTATGTGGACAGAAGAGGGCGCTGCTCAATCAATGTGCTAATGTTTTGCTTCAGGCACATTTAAAGGACTTTTAACGAGTTTTCTCTATCTATCTACATTTATGACTAGGTTTATTGTGTCCTTTTGATAGAAATAGAACTTAATCATTCAAATATCACTCAGGTTGAATGTAGCGGAACAAATTTGCAGGGTTAACCAGTGTTGCCACCTTCACAGCTGCCTGTGGAATAATGAATGCCTCTTTTCCTCTCGAATCATTTCCATTTCCACTGTAAAGCCCTTGGACTGGGTCTAAAAGAACTAAGTAATATCTTACCATTCATCCTTTTTTTCTGCAAATATTCTGCTGGGTACAAAGAACAGTTTGTAACTGAAATTTTTTTTAAATGTGACACACTTTCAATACAGCAAACTCTAAAGGTGCTGTCATCTTTTTCAGTTATCACAAAAAAAAAGATTGTAAAATGTATGAAACTGGGGAATATTCCCAATGCCTCGAGGCCTTCCAAGTGCACATAATACCCCTTTTATCAATACATATAAATTGATCTTTCAATATGTTAAATATTTCAACAAGTATACAAAATGTACTCCTTTGAGACTACCTCTTATCCCCAAAGTATACAAAAATATAATAAATAAGAATAAAGCCAATAAACATCACTTTCAACTACAGTAAAATATGTGACAATATTAACTGAAACATCATATTTTAAAAATCCTCTTGAACCACCCAAGTGATGTTTTGTAAACTTGAAAATTATGTAAATTTGAAATGAACCCAAACATAAATACTGAAAAATAATTACAGAAATTAGCTCTATAAAGTGATAACTACAAAATAAAAATATTTAACATGTGATTTAAAACATTTAAGTTATAACTGTCTTCACTTTAAACAATTTTTTATTACATTGTAATATGCACACATTAAAATGCTGTCCGTACTGAAGTCCCAGCTTTCTGATGGGTCATGTTAATCTCGTATCGATGCGCATCTAAATATAGAGCATGCATCTTGCTCTCCTGAGTCATAGTGTCCTCGGGTAATGCAATGAAAACAGCAACAGACAGAAAAGTTGATGGAGAAGATCACATTGTAGGCATGAGTCATGGTTTAAATAGGTGGTATCTTCCCTGTTCTGGGATAAGGCCATGTGGAAATATTTGAGTCTCTGAGTCACGCTTGTCTTTCAGCTTTAGAGGGAATATCTTAAGCTGCAAATCTTCTATAATAAAAAGAATGATATAATTTAAGGTTTCAGCATTTTGAGTCTTTTGTTTTCGCCTCAGCAGCCACCCATCGGAGACTGAGGTTGATCTCCGGTGGCTGGTTGGTACAGCACGTGCAAGCGATGGGTGGTTAACGGCAAAGTGATGCCTCTCCCCTCCACTGTACAGCAGTTGATTCTTCATCTTCAGGCCTTCAGCTCAGGGATGTTAAGTCAAAACAGAGCAATCAGTTCTGGAGGTTCTCCTAGCATTTCTCCAGTACATCAAACAGAACATTAGACATGTTCTCAGTAGTGTTTTCTTAAAAAAATGTTTTACTTTAAGCTTTTCCCCTTTCTTTTCTTCCATGTTATTTAGACATTTTTTATATGACACACGTTCAACAAAGCAGCATAGATTATGAAAAAAGGGGGAGTTTATACAATACAAATTATTTACTTTCACAAATAAATATCATGATATAATAGCATGCATACACATTTAGTCTCTTTCATTTGGATAAATCAAATAAAATCATATTTCTTTTAGAGCACATTTCTATATTTCTAGTTTTATAGAGCATCATTCACCTCAACATCCAAAAATGAAATAAGGATCGGTTGCTATGTAGCTACATAATTTGCTTTTAAAGATAAAACAAGAATTTGTACACAAACAATATGTATACATATAGAGTTTGGTAATATTTGACATTTCCAAAAGGAAAAAAGTCTCATTGGATCACTGTAAATGAACTTCTTGATGTATTTTCCTGGAACATTAAGCTTTTTCTGTAGGACTGCAATGCAATGGAATAGATGACTCCAAACTAAGTCTTGATTATGTCAAAGTCAAATTCCAACATAATTAATTTATGGTGCATTGACAAAACTGTATTTCTAAATGCATCTCATTTAACAGATGCCATGTTGGTGGTTGCAGTCAGCTGGATCTGAATCAGGATCTGGGATCCAGCTTTTTAGTGGCAGGTGTTTGACAGAACCCAGAATCAAAGTCCAGCCTGCAGGATAGCAATGCAGCCCTGACATTTGCCGTGTTTGGCCCCAAAACTGCACAGTCTCATGAAATCAATTCATGCCTAATTGTTTCTCTTTAGGGAACAACACTAATTAAATTGAATGTGTACAATCACTGATATTGCATCTTTTAAAAGCTCTTTTTCTCTTCCTTTCCAAAGGCAGAGACAATCCAATATTACCTTTTCAACACAATATTTCAATTTTTTTTTACTTTATTTTGCTTGGAGCATAGAATTATGATTATGAACTAAGGTTGCGGAGGCAAGTCCTCCAAAACTGACTGATTTATTGATAAAGACTGGTAGCTGCTGCTCTTTTCCCATCTCCCATGGTGTCATCATCTGGTTGTTCTGTGCTTCTGCATCCTGTCACTGCAGAGCAGTGCCAGCTTTGAGAGCCTGTTTCAGAAGCAGTTTCTTGCCATGTGTCTGTCATTGGCATATGGGGATGAAATGCACAGCTAAAAGTGAACCAGAATGTTTCATAGCCAGTTGACAAGAGTTATCCATGGTTTTTGAAACTATTTAAGTGATCTGGCTTTAAAAGTAACTGAAAAATATGTTTACAACAGAGGAACAGAAATGTGAGGATAAGTAATCCCTTTTTTCCCCAGCACTTCCTCTG